AACACTGCTGTCCCACAGAGCTAGTTTTCATTCCCTCCACCTCAGCCACAGCTCGTCATGTCTCCTCTCCATGCTCTGTAAAATATGTATTTTTCCCCCTGAGCCTGAGAACTGATTTCTCATCTGCGGCAGGGATGGGAAGACTCTCCAGAGCAGCAATTCTTTATTCTGCCTGTCGCTGCAACAACTGAAGCACACACAATCCCAGCCCAGTCAGCCCAGCCAAAATCTAGGGATTTAGCTGCCAGTTCATCATTTCTGAGCAGGTAAAAGGTTGAACTGTAATAACACCCAAAGACACAGTACACATGAACTCAGACACATAGCTCTACAGACCCTTCTTGTTATCAATGAGATACAATTAAAGGCTTTTTCCCCCGCAGGGAAGGCGAATACAAAAAGCTTGGCGTCTTGCTCACAATCCCCTTCAGTCAGAATTTGGCTTGTCAGGTTATTTTAAATAAGAGCAGGAGAGAAATTGTACAGCGCTGTGTACTTAAGACACTGGGGGAATTCAAGGACTGTTATAAAGCTGCATTCATTAGCAGATTTGCAAATTTTGTCCAAAACACTTTCTTAGTCTCGTAGGAGCCTCTTAAACACACAAACAAGCAAGTTATGAGGGATTTGCAACAAATAAGAACCACATGTCAGCAGAGACGTTCATTTTTGCACTGTCAATTATTGCTTTTTTACCTGTCCATAATGATGCTGGCATTCAAGAAACTGTCTGGGCCTTTTGCTTTGGACAGTGAGTGTGTGTGTGTGCGGGGTTTAGGGGTTGGTTTGAGTCTATCTGGTTAAAAAGAGCTGTTCAATGCTGGTTTCAGTAGTAGAGGCCGACCCAAGCCTGCTGGGAACTGAACTGTAGTTAATTAGTGCACAAAAGCAGCGGGACAAAGGAAACTTTTGGGTGGTGGTGATTTGGGGAGTTGCTTGGAGGAGGAAGGGGTGTGAGTAGGAGTGGTGGGTAGGGGCTTCTTTTTTGGGGGGGAACTTTGCATGTGTGTGTGTCTTCCTGTGTGTGTCTAGGGGGCAGCAGGAGGAGGGTTGAAACGGTGGGTGTGGGGGGAACAGAGTGGAGGGATGAATTAGTGGCGTGAAGGGGAGCCTTGTCCCTAAGCTCAGAGCTGCCACCAGCACACACACACACACACACACACACACACACACACACACACACACACACACACACACACACACACACACACACACACACACACGTCTCTGCTGGAACCCACCATGGGACAAAAGAGTGGGTGGGTCTGCTGGAAAGGGACCCAAAAGCAGAGACTGCAACAGACTGAGACTGAAAAAGGTCAAAGTATGACATGAGCTAATGAGGGGAGACAGTCTGTCAGAACTCTCATCTGCACCATCTCCTCAATGTGCAGCTCTGTGTTATTTTCCTAAACGGCCACCATAAGAGAAACCTGATTGTGTTGATCCTGAGTGAGCTGGTGTTAGGATATGCCTTCTGTCTGAGAGCTGATATCTTCTTGTTTGTTAATTTATTTCTTAGCGTAGCATTATTGCATGGCAAAAGCTTTCTAAGGACACTGGTAAACAAAGTAGGAAAACTAATGTACATCTTTTGAATTAAGTGAAATGTGTGGAGGTTCCTAGGTCTGCACACAGGAGCAGACTTTTAAAGTCAACCAATTATGAGAACATTGGAGGCCAAATATTATGACAAATGATCACTATTTTGTTCTTGTTGTGTGTGGCGTGCAACAGTTTGGTAAACTGATGCTATCTGTTTGGCTTCGCAATTGTTTTGTCCTTTGTGACAGTCCAAAACAGGATTTATGAGTAAATATTTATGATCTTTAATCGGAGGGCTTCAATTGTCTTCCACACAGTACAGGGGGAGGTTAATCATACTTAACATTGGAACGTCATGTGACTGACGCAACAGGATGGCCCAGCCAGGCTAACTTAACATACCTCATACCACAAGTATGACTCCGGCAAGATGATCTGTGGGAACCATCTCATTATTGGGCCCTTGCTGACTGTTGGAAGCGAGGAGTCAGGCCCAAATCCAGCATGAGTATCTTGCAGAGTGTATCCTGCTTGAGCTAACATAAATCTATGAATCTTATTTTCTTTTTTAATCATGATAAAACAATCTTAGCTATCTCGTTTTATGATAAAAAGACTGATTTTCACAGCAACACTGAATACAAAGAAAGTGTGAATGCATGTCCACTAAGGGTGTCCATACAAATTAATATAGAGTTTTTGTATTAACCATGGTATTTGTATTCATTAAACAAGTGGGGTGGTTTTTGACAAAGTATTCATCAACATTAGCAGGTAGGGCTGGGCGATATGGGAAAAAGTTTATCATGATATATTTTTTTCAAATCAGTTGATATCGATATATATCAGGATATATAAAAAAAAATACTTGTCAATCCTAAATGTTCTCTATTACTCCTTAATGAAATTCAAACTGTTGTTATTTTCTGTGTAATCTTGGTGTCCCTTTGGCGTTTTGTAGTGAGGCATTGCGCTAGAGAAAGCGGACTGAATAGTCGGTTCAGCATGGCGCCGATCCGAAGCAACTCCCCTTTTCATTGGCTATTCATAATGTCAACCAAAACATGTCAGAATGCCGCTATTGAAAAGCATATTGACATGTTCTATATTGATATCGAGGGAAATTAATTTTCGATATATATATCGTTTTATTATTTTAAATCACAAAGTAATATCAATGTCCAAATGTAAAAAAAAAAAAAGTGTTCCAGCAACATGGTGGTATTTTGGAAAATGTAAGGTAAGGTATATTTTGCAATCATGAGTTGAGATGTTGCTTAGTTTGAGATTCAGAATGGGTGCAAAACAAGCCACTGACAGATCTGATAATGCTGATTGGCTTACTGAGAAGTAAAGTAATTCCTTTCAATATAACTTGTTAAATGTTTAAGCAGTTTTCCTATATAACTCCTGTTTTTCTTTGCAGCCCAGCAGTGAGATTAAGTTGTATTACTGATGCTCTGATAGATTTTTTTAAATGATTAAATAGCCATAAAATATTCATGATATTCAAACAGACAAGTAAGATTGGTGGGTTGCCTCTAATCACAGGTGGTTATTTTGCAGTCGGGCTAATCAGTCTGAATGGCTGGTCAGTTACCCGCGGGAGGCGCTGTCTGTCCATTGTTATCAAAGCTCATATTGACGTCCCCCTCCACAGTCCATTTGATGCCAGTATTGATCCGTATTCAGCGGCGGACAGCAGAGCATACAGGCTGGTGTTACCTGCTGCCAGCTCGGACAAACACTGCGGGCTGGTGGCCACTTCTGTCTGCTGGCCAACCAACCAACCAACCATCCTCCTCCTCCTCCTCCTCTTCATTCACCCACCCCCTCCTCACCCTCATCCTCCGCGCCCCCTCTCATTACGACAAGCTTCACGGAGACAAACAGCAGAAACCCGGAAGTGCAGAACTTTTGACTTCAGAATAAGAGCGGGAAATGTGTTAATTGAAATAAATTAACACCGGATTACACATCGAGTTCATCACCCCAAGCAGTGACCTCAGGACTCAGAGGTTTGACACAGGTGCCATGACATCAGTGGATGGATGAGGTCACCTTCTGCCTCCGGAAAACAGCCTGTTTGTTCTCTATCAGGTGTGTGACTCACCTTTTTATTGCTCCTTCATTAAGATAGATTGGGGCCATAGCTTCAACATTTATTAGAGGGCCTAGTTTGGTAATTTTATCTTTTTTTTTTTTTAACATATTTAGTTTTATTTCGATGTGTTCGAACTCAAATCATATTAGCACAAACACATACATTTAGGACAAAGCGGAAAAAAAAAAAGAAAAAAAAATGTTAAAAAAGGAGATAAGTGTATACGTAAATAAATAACACCCAAAGTGTACCGTAGTGTGACAGGTTTGTTGGTCTGTTTAATATCAAAATCATATTTATACATTTTTTTCTTATCTGTATCTCAGGAAAGGGGAACATCAAACAAAGTATTTATGGCAATAGAAAAAAGTAACACTAGTTGATTTGTTCTGTGGTAGTAAAATTAATTGAACATAGGAAGAAAAAAGCAAGATAAAAAAAGAAAAATTGTATATATATATATATATATATATATATATATATTGTCTATGCATGTACATATGTACATACAGAAAAGAAAGAAAAATGTTTATGACTATATAAATAGTTTGGTAATTTGAAAAAGGATCCAATGAAAAGGTTAATTACGGCTTTAAAAAAAATAACATAAGAAGAGATAAGCTGGTTGATATTGATAACGGTCTTTTTTTTTTTATCCTTAGGATGCCAATTAAAATTAGTTTTGACATCTGAAAGCAAAAAGTTAAATATTAAAATTTATAATTTTTACATTGTTAAGTTAACTCGTATCTTTTTTGTTTAAAATAAATCAAGCCTTTACATTTAAGAAGGTTAAATTTCATTGATACTTTACGAGGTTGAGGGTTTGTTAATGAAAAAGAGCATCTTAAATAAGCAAAAGGAACCAAGTGTAGCCTATTAAGAAATAAAAATACTGTTAATTAATATACTTTAAAATCAGTGTTTAATTTTGTGGAAAATTAGAGGTGGGAACAGTTTGTAAAAGAAAAACAAAGACGTAAAGAAAAAGAGGTAAGTTAAGGCAAAAAAAAAGTGGTTTTCTCCTTAGACAGAATATAGTACATACTATAGTATATACTCATACATACTATAATATATATACTATAGTATATACTCATAGATTGCATATACTGTATACTTTGGGCTGTCTATGGGTTTAGTATACAGTCTATGGGTTTACACCTTAAACAGAATATAAAGTCATATTTAGGCCCATTAAACAAGATACTCAAACAAATGCCGTGTAAAACAACTATTCAGGTAGTCGGGGTTTATTGTGGTTTGTCTTGAATTCCCTCACTAAATAAATGCATGAAGCTATAAACATTTCGTAGCTAACTCTTATTTTGAAACTCTTGCCCGGAAGCCTGACATTTATTGTTTCTTTCTTGGCGCTGCTGAGCCCCCAGCCCCCTCTGTGTCTGGGTCCCACTGACTGTTGCCATTCCGACGCTCATCCCTCCAAGACGAGCAACAGCTCCGCGGAGTTAACCCGAGTGGACTACACGTACCTACAGCGGGCAGAGACCACTTCACGGCCGGGTTTCCCCTTCTTTGCTCGGGGCGGGCAGCAGCACAGAGATGCGCTCCTGGACAGAGGTTCGGTGTGGGTAAAGTCAGACAGAGAAAATGAGACTGAGCAGCACCGCAGTCACCCCGAGTGTGGAGGTATAACCGGACCCGTGTAGCGCTCGGTTCTGCTGAAGGATTGTGGAGGGAATGGGTCGGTGAGGGCTCTCATCTCAGCCGAAGACATGAGTATTGGAGGGGGGACAAAAAGCTCGGCTGCGGCGCTCTGTGTTTGAGTCTCCATCCATCCGGAGGGTCCAGTCTGCACACCTTTCTTCATGTTGCAGAAGCCTGTTTTATGACAATGGATTACTTGCTGTGGGTGTGCAGCCTCGTTGTGCCCGTGGTGCTGGCTGTTGAAGGTATGTCGTCTTTTAATTTTTGCGTCTACTTTAGTGTCCCGTTCATGAACAATGGGGCTGCTATGGTGCATCAGAATTTGGCAGTAAAAACCCCTTTGTCCCCATGAGAAACCAACGTAACCGCAAAAATACATGGAAATGAACAAAAGCAAACGAGTGATAATTTCCTCCAGTGTCAGTCCTGTGGATTTCCGTGCAAATCACAGATCATTCGTTTGCTGCTGCTGCTTCTGAGGCTTAAATCAGATCAGTAAACCAGACTCCCTTCATGTTTTGGTTAATTAAAGCTCTTAATATAAAGCGGCCCGCTTTGTTAAATGGGCAATTCCTCTGAGTATCAATTTGCTCTGTGATTGTTATTCATGCACACATGCATCAGCACTCCCCGTTCCCTCTGTGTGTGGTGTGTGTCAAATGTGTGTATCTTTGTGAAGATATTTAAGTGTTTCCATTGCGGATGACTGACTGTCCTGTTGCTATTGTCCCCTGTTGGTGTCACACCCTCGAGCTGAGTGAGGATGCCCACCTGCCCCACCTTTTTCGAGGTTAGATTCACACCCTGGAGACAGCCCAGAGGTTCGTCCCTTCGCTGTCACCATAAAACAGAAACATGCCTCTCATGACGAAGGCCAAAGGTCTGCTGGGTTTAGCTGTGTGGACACTTAAACTGAAACCCTGAGGTGGATCAATCGTGGCCCCTGGAGCGCTACAGGGACACACATGAGAAACATATTAGACGACAAGTGTGAATTAAAGGTCAATGGCTTAACAAGTAAGCTGCAGCCCCTGAAGCTCTCTCTATCACCGTGGGAGTGGTGCTCAAGGGAGAAGAAGAAGAAGCCCCCCCACCACCCACTTCTCCTACCCACCCATCCTGGCTTTGACTCCTCTCACTGAGCTGTAGCTACATTTCTCCTCCTCCCTTCCCGGTCCAATCTGCCTCTCCTGGACCGTGGCCAGCCTGATCCCTCATCAATTCTGGTGTCAGCGAGTAAATCAATGCGGCGGCAGCAGCCCTCCAAGTCCCTGTGGGCTCTGACGCCGTGACGATTGGCCCCCAGTTTTCCCCCCAGACGAGACCACTAAGTGTTACTCAAAGCTCAGGGGTTAACTAATGTTTGTCCTCTGAGGATCAACATGAAGGGCGATGATCGCATAGCCTTTTTTTTTCAAATCCACCCCGCGTTTATTTAGCTGCTTACTCAGTGCATTTCTACACATGGCTCAAATCTGGATTTGATTTTTTTCAGATTGGCAAGCGTGTGCGCATGGATGTTTGGCTTGACTGCAACTTAGAGTGTATTTACAAAAGCTGATACAGTGATGACTTATCTCTAATTCACACCAGCAGACTGCAGTAAAAGCCTCAGCACTTGTGACACTTTAATGTTGTATTACTCTCACTTACAGTCAGCATTTACTGTACTCTCATTTTAAAAAGCTTGTAAACTAGATGGATGACCACTCAGGAAGCATTTTATAAAATCATCCACAGCATGTTTATATGTGTCATTGCAGGAGAGAGTAAGAGCTTCTTTCTCATGTTTCTTGCTTTCCTCACGTCAGATTATCAACGAGAGTCATTGTTTGTCGACCTATGAAAGCAGATGCAAGTAGCCCTGGAAAAGATTGAATTAGGTCAGCTTGACTTGTTCAAAAAGAGCTCATCAAGCGTCCAACTGAGCATCACTGTCGGCTGTTATCACCGTGCTTCTATAGAGAGAGGCACGCTCCAAAATACAAATGAACCTTTGCTAGAAACGAGCTCAGAAGTCACATTTTTGGAGCGCGAACACCAGACGTTTTTTTTGCACCTATTTATAGCTGCGTGTTTGATCGTCCTCTGATAGCTGATGATGATGTTTGGCTGTTAATATTTCATATGTTTGCTTGTTGGCAGCGAGTGTCAGCGTCGTACAAGGCGAGGCCTCCCTTTCATGCTGCACCCGCTCTATTACAAAGTGAATAAAACATTAGCATGTGTGAGCTCCCAGAGCGCGCTGAGAATGCACAGTTGTGTGGCATTTTGGCTCCGGCAGGCAATCAGAAAAAAACAACACTAAATGCCATGGGTGGTGATGCTCTAAAGTTCCCACTGCAGCATTGTTTTCTCACCCTGGGGGCAGACCGACTCCAGCTCTGCTTTAGTTTTTACGGCAGAGGAGGGGGGCAGATTTTTGGATTTAAGTTATAGCAGCCAGGCAATCTCAGAGGTGTTGTAAATTTGAAGGGAAGGGGGAGAACTGGGGAACAAATGGGATCTTTTTCAACCTTGGGATTTAGTGAGATGGTGATAACACACTTCAGGTGCAGAGAGTTGTTGTCAGAGGAACCTTTTTCAATCTGAAATCTGAGTGTTTTAGTGCAACACATGAACCAAGACTCAGATGTTCGGCTTGGGGATACACGGCCCCTTCTGTTCCCTAATAGCAGTTTTTGAAAAATAACACACTTCCCTGAGAAAACTGTGTTCTCCACCTCTACAGTGAGGTGAAAGGTCATGCTGGGAAACAAAATTCAATGGCGCTATGTTACTTTCATAGAACCTTAAAAAAAAACAATTGACAAAACTTGATATTCAGAAAGCGACAACAACAAAGCCAAACAAGGTCACATTCAGAAAACAATCCTCATTAAGACGACTGAAAGTGAACAGATCATCATAGCAGAGGGAAGACAAAGGTATGATTGAGATAAAGACAGAAAAAACAGGCAAGTTAGTCAAAGAATTCAACAAACAAATATAACCAGAGAGAGAAAAGGTGCTTAAAAGCTGACACCAGCAAAGCAACTCTGTAGTAAAGTGCTTAAGAAGTGATTTAAAAGATGGAGCTGTTTCTTCGTGCTTTATCTCCTCGGGCAGTTTGTGTGAATCTACGGGTGCCCTGATGGCAAAAACACAGCCCCCTTCAGATTAAAACAGAGTTTTTGAACAACCAGAAAGGCCCCACCTGTCGACTGCCATCTGTTTAGTAAACCATTTCTCCTCACTTTAGTTCTGATACTGATACCTAGACTGGAATATTGGATGATACAAATAAACACCTTTAGATACCAGTGTGATAAAAAGTAATACACAAACTGGTGGAAACTACAGATGAATATGAAGTAGGAAACAAAAGAATCAGCATTTCCTTTACTGACTGGTTATGGTGTAGATCATATTTCCTGTTAACAAATGGGACATGGGTCAAAGTAAAACATTACAATACACATCAATTTCTTTCCCCCAAAGGTGATTTCTGTTTATATACTTCGTTTCCATCAGTCAGATTTATGGCCATGTGTTCATTTTTCTTGGAAGCGGGGTATAATGCCATGATTGACAGCTCTGTTCATAAATTTAGTTTCTGCAGCGCTCTGTGTAATTTTCCAGAGTAGTGGAGGAACTGCGAGGGAGATGTAACAATCACAAACACCTCAGTAATTGAACTTTTCATAACCATGCTGTCCACTTCAGACCCGTACAAGATGTGAGTCGTGCAGGGCTTGACACTCACTTTTTTACCTCAGAGCTGATGTGCTGCAGAGTCACAATCTTAAGGGGCACATGGGGAACTATGGGGGTAGCTGAGTTTGCTAGACATCAGTGCTTTCTTTCCTTTTTTTAACTCTCTTTCTCACAGCGTCTGCATCACTCAGTATTTCTCTATCTGTTACACTTGATGTTCTTTTAAAATAACGTCTAATAGATAGAGGGGGGAATCTTTCCAAAACAATCTAACTCAATTTGATATTTGATAACTACACTCTGATTCAGGAACAATTCAGTCTCATTTGTAATGATTCAATTTAAAACAAATTGATAAATGAATTTGGAGTACTTATTTTCTTAGTCACATTTGTGAGTAGAAAAGAAAAAGATAATGTTCCCTTCGAAATTGTATTCCTGAGTTTATTACATTCACAATAGACAGAAGAGCAGACGTGCTGTATACACTGAAACAGTAATAAGTAAACTGAAGTATATCACACAGTCATGCCCAGGTGTGTCACTCTGACAGGCTGTTAGGTGAGGAAATAGAAAATTTCTGAAAATGCGAGTGTATGAAGAAATCTTTGCTGTTTTTTACATTTACTTTGACAGTTTTTGTTTGATGTTACTCTGAATTTGAAAAACATTTCCGTCACACACTTATTTAAATGCTGCTCAATGGTGTCTTGAATCCAGATTTCATTTCACAAAGCCATCACACCAAAGGACACACTGAGGTTGTAAACCGTGAGATGAGACTGGCTGTAGATGTTGAGATATTTAGAGACTTGCCAAGTTAAGGCTGTAAGAAACCAGATTAGAACCTTGAAATCGGTCCGTCATCTGGTTTGTGTGACATAGTGATCGACTAGTAGTTGAGTGATAACAGTTTTCCAACCGCCAATACCACATTGAGTATTTTGGCTTCACTTTTTCACTGTGGGAGGAGGCAAAGACTTGTCGCCCATCTACAATCAGTGGTGAAATACAGCTATTCCTCCCATGTTGTTAACTTGGACTACATTACATAGACATGTATCTGCTGTCATGCTGTCTATGTATGCAGCTATCATGACTATTAACCAGAAAACTGTTCATTTTCTGAGGCTGATTTTGCATGGGATACCAAGAGTGTAACAACTTTAATGAACTTACAGGTACCTGATCACAGTTAGGCAGCATCATGATATTATAGGGACCCTTAACTCTAAAATTAACTCCATGATTCTTATCCGGCTCGACAGCTTTGTCAAAGACCAGGTTCGGTTGCTGTACACAGAACTGCTGGTGTTCAGTATCCTGCTCAGAAATGCTTCAGCAGGGTGAAATCCAGCTTACACAGGGGGTTTGGACCCGGCTTACTCAGATATAGAACAGCCACCCTGCTGCTCTTCTGTGCATGTGTGTATAAATGTGTGTAAATGTGTGTGTGTAAGTGTGAGCTGATGCCTGTTTTAAAGGAGCATCAGCTCAGACCTGTGGTTAGCTGAGGATGAGCGGTTCTGCCTCTCTTTTGCTACTGGGCACCAGGAGACAAGAGGGAACGGGGTGACGCAGCGGATCAGACGCCCAGGGGAGGACTGGATCAGCAGTATGTTGTCCGGGAGTGTTCAGTCAGCTGTGCGCCTCGGAGGACTGAGTGTAGCAGAGCAAAGACAACAGTCGCTGATTTCCCTGATTAGTTCCTCCTCTCTGGCTCAAGTCGTGCTAATCACTGAAACAACCTTGTTCGCAGTCGTAGATTTGGGCTTGACAGCTAAAGTTATTATCCGCTGCCGCACGTTTCCTCGTGCACACAAGAAGTGAGGACCAGGAGAGCTTTCTCTATTCATTGAGCAGGACCTGTTTTTCTGTATTTAAAGCTTTCAGTGAATTTGCATTTGCTTTCTGCATAAATTTAGTGATTAAATAAAATACAGAAGTTAATGTGATCTCTGTTGTCAAAACAAGAATGAAGCAGCCACTTACTTCTTTTAAAATGAACGAAAAGTGTTTATTTTATGCACCACTTGTAATCTGTTTATTCAAAACCTTTTCACTTTATATTGTAATCTGCCAGTCGAAGAGTTTTGCATCGCTACTCTTAATACTCACAGTTTAGAAATTTATTACAAGATTAACTGTGTGGTCTCAGACTGAAAATAAACTGTGACCAGGTTTTAAAGTTCAAAAGCAGACCAGTTCTTCACCTACCTGATGGGAATTTGATGGAAAATTAAAGCTACTGTTGTGAATTTTAGCTAAATCCAGTTTTTGGTCAAATAAAAACGCCTGTAAACCAGGAATACGTTTTGTTTTTATTATTTACGTGTAAATATAGTGTATTTTAAACAAATAAGAACTCATTTTTTTCTATGCTTTGTCCTGGTTTCTATTCTCAGAAAAAAAGTAACTGCGAACTGCGAGCGAGCGTCAACTTTAGCGTATGGACGTGAGAATGGTATCAATTACCTTATCTTACTCTCCACTAGAAATCTCACAAGCATTACCCTAAAATGTCAAACTACTCTTGTAAGCTATTGTTCCCTTTTCTATCAAGTGTTGTTGATTTTGTATTGACCTGTCAATTTTGACATTATTGTGAAGGGAAATAATAGGAACAAAAGGTTTCATAAATAGTTGATCACTTTACATCAAAAGCATGTTGTCAGCGCTTGTCAGCTTGTTTTCATTTACACACACAGCAGAGCTCATTTGCATATAAACAAAGAAGCAGGAAGTTTTACTACTAACTTTCAGCTTCTTTAGTGACTTTGGAGTAGACGCAGCCATTCAAAGCACTTAAACGAGGAGTGATCACTCATCCCTCGTAACTCTCAGTGGTATACAGTTAAACATGACTTATTTATCACAGTCTGTAGGATTCAGAGCCGCAACAATTTATGACTTAGTTAAATAATTCATGGGTAAAATGAAATGTAATCAGCTATTTTTTTTATAATTCATGTGAAGAGCCAACTCTAAAGGCAATGAGTTACCTTTAAGAGTCAGATGTCAAAATTCAGCGCTTTTGTTTATTTGTTAAATTCAGATGTGAGTCTTCAGGATAATTTTTTCACAAATTCATGAAGACCTTTTCCACACTGAGACGAAAACAATATCTTGCCATTTTCTTTTGAAAAAGTGTTCCGTAAAGTCAAAATTGTTTCAGGAAATATCAGCATAAACGCGAAACGTCCAAAAGGGATGTAGTGCATATGCCAAGCCAGTAAGTGGCGCTGTAACGCTGCCCTAGAAATGCACCAAAAGACAGAAGAAGAGTAAGAGCAAGCGTATTAAGGTGTTTTGGCCAGAGTCTCACAGGCACCTCAAAAAAGTTGCACTGTGTGTGACTTAGCAGTTTAAAGAGAGATCCGGATAGTGATCCACATGGAAGCGAAACAGTAGTTGTCTATAGATTTATTCACGCTGAGACCCATTTTCAAAACATATCATTTACAGTTACAGCCTGTTCACAGAGGTGGGAAGTAACAAATTACATTTACACTGGTCCTTTCTTGAGATGTTTTAATAAATTTTATTTGATGACTGAAAACATTAACGCTTCGCATCAGCTGCTAGCAGCCAGCTGATGGAAAGATGTCTGCACGGAAAAAAACTAAAATCCAACTAAACTAATTTAACACTCAGTCAACACGTTTCATTTCACGTAATACAACCATCTGTGACCTGACATGTCTATATATAAATCTTAATATCTCAAGATATTCAAGCCAAAATGATGTCTTTCAAGAAACTTTCAATGGAAGTTACCACTTTATCCACAGGGGGCACCAAAGTCAGCACAAACAGAAATTTCTTCATAGAAGCTTCAAATTACAACAGTAAGCGTAGAAAAATATGCCTTTGACATTATGGAGGTATTTCTCACTCCCCTACCCTCAACACCATGGGTCAAAAGCAAGTACTTACCTCAGTGCTTTGAGTATTTTTTACTTTTACTCAAGCAGAATATCATCTCATCCTTCGTAAAATGTCATTAAAGTAACTGTACCTTGACGTGAGTAAAATATCTTCAGACTTTTTCCACGCTTAAATATTTGATGCTCTATCTACCAGTTCAAAGTGAGAAAGCCTTTCAGTCAACAAGTGAGAGTCCCGGGGAACTTCCACTAAGTCCAGTTGGCATTTTGCTAAAGCTGAACCGTTTGTTGCAGCCTTAGTCTGATTTTGAGGTCAGTGGTCTTTATTCCTTATCCTTGAAAAGAAGAGAAGTCATGCTGTTTTCTGTGAAGAACAAACAGCCCTGACTGTAAACACACAGCTCCAGCTCAGCAGCCACAGATGGACAAGTGATTGTCTCACTCAATCAAACAACTCCTTTTATTGACACACAGAAAAACCAAGGACACATTGTGCTTTAACTGTGCCGTCTTTAAAGCGAAACATAAACCTACATTATTCTGATCACACAACCGAGCGAAGCTGTGCTTCTTGAAAAGAGCGCTGCTGTTTGTTCCACACAGAAACATGCTATTTGTTTACCCTCTCACACCCTCCTTGAGCACCGATATCAACGACTCGCGAGCAAATGGTGCACAGCAGGCGTCGTGTCATTGAGTCTCCGTGAAGAAAGTGTAATTGTTGCAGTAATTATGTGCTAACAACAACAGAACAATGGGAGTCGACGCGGCCGCAGCTGCATGTTGGGAAACCCTGTGATGGGTGGCTTCTTCTGAAGGGTGCAAAATAAAACTCCCCAGACCACCTCTCAGGTGACGCCTGATTGACAGCATGACAACAACACTCATCGATCTCGCTGCTGTTTTATTCTCCTTCCTCTCCTGCGATTTCTGCCGAACTCTCACCTCCCTGCAAAGTCGTAAACAGCTGGGGGAAGAAAACAACTGCTCACACCGCCCTTTTACTCAGATATGACAAATCTGAGCAGAAAGGCGTCACACTTGGGTGTTCAGGGTGAAAACCTTTCCTCCAAACAGGATGAAATAAATTTCCCTGTGCTGGTTTGACCTCTCTGAAGTGCTGCTGCTTAATGGAAAACTTCCTACTAAAGGCATCTCAGAGGAGGCTTTGTTCTTAGCTCCTCAAATGAATATTGAAAGGAGTGCATTTGCAAACACACACACACACACACAGAACGAGAATTAATTAGGCGGAATCACAGATATGCCATGATTGTCAGTGCTTTCAAAAAATTGAGTGCATGTGGGTGCACATTATAAAAGAGGAGGGAGAGGAAGTTTTACCTGCATCTTTTGTCGAGCGGAGGGAACTTTTGTGCTCCTTAATGCAACAATTTCTCCTCCTCACACCTTTTAATTCAGCGTTGCCAACCTTCCTCCCACTCTTTGTATTTTGCAGAAACCCTTATGGACAGTCGGTGGGCAACCACAGAGCTGGCATGGACCACATTCCCAGAGAGTGGGGTGAGTAGTGTGTGTATGTGTGTCTTTTTTATGTGTGCTCCCTTGTTTTTCTCCCTTTAACAGCATTTGTTCCATTTGCTTGTTAATAGAGCCCAGTCTGCCTTGAACAGCACACCTCCTACTGTTTTATATCTTTGTTTTTGCTGTGTATGTTTGTTTTCGTGGATACTTAAAAAACCAAATGAAGAACACATTGAAAAGAAGAAATCAAAGATTTTCTGTATTTAGCAAAAAAATTGAAAAGCATGAAGACACATAAGGTAGTTAAACAAATGAGCGAACTCACGGATACTCAAAGCAAATCCCTGCAGAGTGTGAGGATTTGAAGGTAGACTGTAACGCTGCATGTCTCCACAGGATAGAGAGCCTGATAATTGAAAGCATGTGTCTGTGTCGTCTATATTAAGGGCCCAAGAGCGCATTACGGGCAGAAATTAAGGTTTTCAGTTGACCCCCCTGTAGGAATGGTGAGAAAATAAAACAACATGAATTTGACCCCGAGGCTAACAGCCTGACAGACCTCCCCCACTCCCGGCCAGTGTAATTTGTCTTCGCTACGTGAGCGCAAAGTCAGTCAATGGAAATGGTGGGTTTCCATGGAAACGATCTTCAGCAGCCCTCCTCTTTCCTTTTCTCCCTACGAGGGCCGGCTCTGAATGTCCTAGCATCCATGAAGTCATATGTCACGACCGGGCGAGGCAGCCCCACTCCTCGCGGCTCTGACAGGCCCATACGTTCGGAGGCCGGCAATTATCATATTTGTCAGGTAGTGCATCAACGTGTTGCTGGTGATTTATGACGCCTAATGCCCACTCTTGGGCTCATCGTTTGGGAATAAATTGCCCAGGAGATCGCAGACGTGAAATGAGTTATGCATTATTTTCTTCTAGTTGAAATAATCAATTTCTGGGAGACTCATTTGTTATGGAAACGAAGCATTCAGTCCAAGAGGGAATTAAGGGGAAAAATCAAAAAAGATTGACTTCTCACAAGGTTATTCCTAATGGACTAAATTTATTGACCAATGAAGCCATACATCATATCCTATTAAGTTAGCTGAAACATGAAAAGAGCGGTGTTAACCACATACAAAGCTTTCCGTAGAATTTCTTTATATGAACACAGGCATATAAAGAGTTTGCTGTGTAATTCTCTAAGTACATGATGTAAAAATATCCACTCAGATGCAAAAATGCCCTCCCAGGCTGTATGTGTAGGCATGAGAAAATATATGTATTACAATATATTTTCCACTAACCTGAAGTGCTCTTAAGAGCTGCCACAGTGCAATCACACTGACAGCACTGCATTTAGATTGGCATTTTAATAAATAACTCACTGTTTGTATAATAGGTATAAGAGAAAATATACAGTTTCATGCTCTCGTCCCTGTCAGTGCAAATAATAAATTTATATGCTATAGAAACCAAATCTCCTCTGGAGGCAGTTTCGATTGCACTGCAGCAGCTGCAGAGGTCTGCACTGCCTAGATGTGAGTCTGCAGTTTATGTATCAACCACTGTACTTGCACCAGCACATCTGTAATGATCTTCAACCTGCAGACATTCCCTCCATCTTCAAACCTCAAGCATGTGATCAGCATCAGAATTGCTCGTCAAACAGGCGTGAAGCGTGAAATGCGTCTTAATGGGAAAATGTTTTCTATTAATAGTCTGTAATGATGGGAATTTTCTGAATGATTCATGCAATTAGAAGCATTTTGGCAGCGAATTATTCCTCGCAGGCCGCATGTACACAATAAACACGGCGAGGACGTGCGCTACGTTTTGATATTCTGTGCGTGTCACTCCACTTGTTTGCTGCTTTGAATGCCCTTTATGCTCGAACAGTTTGTATTAGGATGCACTGCGTTTAACATTACTCAGGATTAATTAACAACATATTGGATGAGTGGGGTTCTGCTGTGGCTCAGTTGCTGTTGAATAGGAAATAGAACAGTTGTCAAATAAAGGGAACACATTACATAATCAATGACATTTAGCCTAATTTTAGTCCGTCAGAAGATTTGCTTTATCACCATTTATCTTTGCAGGAACAATTTCAATTCTTAGGTCAGACTTCAAGCTAATAATAATGCTCCTCCTCTACTGTTGTGGTAAAATGTTGAGAAATGTAGGTATAGACAAACAGATTGCCTACAGTTTTTTTAGACTTACATGAAACTGTCATCAAGTCCCATACTGCCATTGTTAATTCATTTCCATAGACCAATTGACTTTTTCTTTTTTAGAGGGTTGGCTAATGAGCAGGGATGGGTGATGTTTATCCAGGTTTAACTCTAATAACTGTTAATTTATTTATTTTTATACAATTTATTATTTATACAAGTCTAGTTTGACATGTAACCCAAACACATTATATTCATATAGATCCATATAGATTACTTGCTCTTGCTCAATTTGTCTGTGATCATTTTACCGTGTGAGAGAGCAGGTTCTTGATCCCTCTTCCTCCTCACAGTATGCGATCTCAGTGTGAACGCTCCCAGCGATGGTAATTTAGGCTGTTTTTAGTGATGTGGATCATTTGGCTCAGCAAGGATCGGCTCTTTTGGGTCCCAAACGACTCTTCATAGAATTGATCATCTGCATCAGCTGGCTTTCAGAGCTGAGTCATTTGCGTTTGGTACACTGACTGCTACATTACTGGGCTCCCAGTCTGGTTAGAGCTACAGTGCTGCACTAAAGTCAGGTAACATAATAATGAGTAAAAGAGGTACAGACTTGTGCTTATCAGCGATGGGATGAGATCAGTGCTGAAAATACCAGTAATGCTTTTTAGGCAACATCAGAGTCCAATACCAATACTAGTATCAATAAAGGTATTGATATTGATAAATATAGTGTCATTGGTATCTGCTTCGGTGCTGGTTTAATTATCAGTTTCCATACTGTTATCAGCACTAGTATTGGCAATGGTATCATTTTCAGTATCTTCATTGGTTGTGACATCAGTAAAGATGCTGATACCCTGTTCAGTATTAGCACTAGCACTGGTAGAAGTATCAGAATCTAAGCTGGTACCCTTGTGGATATTTTCACTGGCATTGGTTACAGTATCTGTATTCGTATAATCTTAAGTGTCTTGACTGGTATCAGTCTCGATATTGGTACTGGTTTAGTATCAGTATATGTGCTAGTATCACTTCAAGTGTACAGTTTGTACTGTCGTTTGTATTGAAATAGGTTAAGTACCAGTATCGTTACTGGTATCAATACTGGTGCTGGTATTGGTATTGGTAACAGTATCTCTATTGGTATAATCTTAAGTGTCTTCACTGGTATCAATATCGATATTGGTACTGGTTTAGTATCAGTATCTGTGCTACTATCACTGTAAGTGTGCAGTATGTACTGTTGTTTTTATTGAAATAGGTGCTGGTACCAGTACCAATATCTTTACTGATATCAATACTGGTGCTGGTGCTGGTATTGGTAACAGTATCTCTATTGGTATAATCTTCACTGGTATCAGAATCAAATCTGTATCAATATTGGTATAGATAGTATCAGTATCTGTGCTAGTATCACATTGAGATGATCTTTAGGTGCAGGTATTGGAGACAGTGTCTGTATTGGTATCTATATCAGCATTGGTCCTAGTTTTAATTAGTGATGATTGTGCCTGTACCTGTATCAGTATTAGACATCTGTAATGAGCGTTTTCAGTCTGTCTACTGTTCCTTTGTCATGTTGTCTCTCTGTTGTCTCTTTAGTGGGAAGAAGTAAGCGGCTATGACGACTCCATGAGCCCCATCAGGACCTATCAGGTGTGTAATGTCAAACAGCCAAACCAGAACAACTGGCTGAGGACGGACTTTATTCCTCGTAAGGGTGTCCTGCGAGTCTACGTGGAGCTCAAGTTTTCTGTGCGTGACTGTGCCAGCATCCCTAACATCCCTGGCTCCTGCAAAGAGACCTTTAATCTGTTTTATTACGAGTCAGAAGGGGACGTAGCGACAGACACCAGCCCACTGTGGAGGGAGAACCCCTATGTAAAGGTGGACACCATCGCCCCAGATGAGAGTTTCTCTCTGCTGGAGGCGGGGAGGATCAACACTAAAGTACGCAGCTTCGGCCCCCTCTCAAAGGCTGGATTCTACTTGGCGTTTCAAGACCTCGGTGCCTGCATGTCTCTCATCTCCGTCAGGGTTTTCTTCAAAAAGTGCTCCACCACCATCGCCAATTTCGCTGTCTTCCCTGAGACTGCTACGGGGGCAGAAGCCACCTCCTTAGTGATTGCTCCCGGCGCCTGTGTCACAAACGCTATGGAGGTTTCTGTTCCTCTGAAGCTCTACTGCAATGGAGATGGTGAGTGGATGGTTCCCGTGGGCTCCTGCACCTGCGTCGCTGGCTTTGAACCTTCTGCAGACGACACGCAGTGCCAGGGTACGTGTGGTTAACAGACATTTGGACTTTTATTTAACCAAACCTCTTTATATGCTCCATGCAAGTCACCTCAGTGTGTGCCCTCTTCTCTGCATTTATTGTGTGGCTCCTGAAAAGGGGGGTGAAGGAGGGTGGAGGAGAGTATGAATTAATGAGGTGTTGCGGAGAGGAGCAGCATACAAATATTGTGAGAGCGGGATGGGAGGGAGAGAGAGGGGCAGAGATAGCGTGGAAGGCACAAAATCGAGAGCCAGAGAGGAAAATGCAGATAATAGAAGGAAAAAAGGATTCCAGAGAGGAAGATTTGAACAGAGAAAGAGAGATAGTGTGAGGTAAAAGGTGTGAAATGTTTAAGATGGGATGGGAACAGCAGCCAAAGGGAGAAGAATGAAAAGGGAGGGGGAGGGGCTGCTGCAGACAGACAAGCAAAGCCTTCTCTCACCTGGGCGTGAGAAATAGTGTCGAACACGCGCTAGAGAGCTCATTCGTTGCCATTTGGCGGCTCAAGGTTAAAAGCTTGCCGCCAAAGCCTGATAAAAAGCTCTCCTGGGCTTCAGCGAGCCGCCGCCGCGATGAGGAACTGTAATTTCCTCCGCAGCCTCCCGTTAGTTAATCTACAGGCGGCCACACTCATTAACACCATTCAGACCAACGTGAGCCAACACTGCCACGCTAACATTAATCACGGTGACGTTTTTCATTTCTTACCTCGGGTCTGGTCGAGCTCGTAGCCAAACGCCGCGTGAGATGAAGAGAGGGCAGGAGGAAAAGGAGGAGGAGAGGAGGAGACAACAGAGGATGGGAGGAGAGGAAAACACTTGTGTATCAAGAAAGAGAGAATAATCGTGTGCTGCAAAGAGGATTGATGCCAGATCGTGCGCGGATTGAGCGAGAAAAACAAACAGATAAAAGAAGAGGGTGATGATGCGCTGTGTAAGAGAGGAGAAATAAATCAGATGAGAGAGGGCACAGCCTAAAGGTCTCGCTGAATTATAGAAGAAAAAAATCGGAGGCATCCTCATCTTATCATCTTTGTCTTTTTATCGCTCGGGTTTAGAGCCACAACGTCGAACCATTAGCTGTGCAGATTTTCCTAAAAGTGCTATTGTTGGGAGTTAAAACCTAAAGACCACTTAGCCTAACTAGTTAATCGCTCCCTCTCTCTTTCTCTCTCTGTTTCTCTCACTGCCGGATCCTAGGAGCCCTCATGCTGACAGGACAGATGTTTGCCAGAGACCCCACTTTTTTACAGCACCAGTTAGGAATGTGGCAAACAGTAAAACATGGGGCTCTGGAGGCGGATATATCCCGGCCTTTTTGCTGCTAATCCCCTTTATCTGAATCCGTCTTTAGTCTGGGCTTATGCTGGTTTATCCTTAAGACTCAATATCAGGCAACCTTCAGCACGACACTTTTGGAATTCAAATTAATCGCTTGGACACATCGTGTGAGACTACCATACGCTTTGTGTATATCTCCCTAACTACTCTCCTCAGTTAATTTGCGTCCACTCTGATGCCCATTCATTTGAGTTGATTTATTGGCTTATGATGGAGCCCTTCTGCATGCATGTGGACGCCTTGTTTGTATGCAGCGCTGCGGTTTTGGACCCAACAGACGCTGATTGATGGGTTTAGGGTGTATCCCTCATCTCCGAAAGCATTCTCCATCCCTGTTTGTCTGACAACAGCAATCTCCTGTCAACAGTCTATCTTCATCTTTATCCTCCTTCTCCTCCTCTTCAACATGAAACTTAGCTGTCAGCCTGACTCTCTTTTAGGAGAGATTAATGTCACCTGCAAAAGGGAGCGAGAACGAAAGAGCAGATGCAAATGTATAGATAAGACCTTATGCTGGAGTGTGTACCATTTTTTTACATTTTATCTGCGTTTCCTGCGCAAATATCTGGCTTTGCAGGTACTTCAAAGGTACAGTTATTGTTGCATGGCAGATATGACAGCCGCTTGTCTTTGAGATAAGTGACAGCCTGGTGTTTGTTTTTCTCCTTCTCCTCTTCTCATTGTCCTTTTTTTTATCTCCTCTTCCTCTCATGCAGCTTGCATCCCTGGGACCTTCAAATCTAAATTCGGAGAGGGCTCCTGTTCCCCCTGCCCGTCCAATAGTCGCACCAGTGCACGGGGAGCCAATATTTGTCCCTGCCAGAGTGGTTTCTACCGGGCTGACAGCGACCCTCCTGACTCAAACTGCACCAGTAAGTCATCCTCCACTGGACAGAATCAAAAGAAATCCTCGGTCTTATTTTTGAAAAGTAAAAGAAACTCACAGTAAAATAGCAGTGCCAGGCTGAATCTACCAATGTGTCTCAACGTTTCTAATGTCAGTCACCTAAAGCAGACATTACTGAACGACATTTGAGAAGAGATTGGTTTAATGAAACACCTGAATCTGCAGGTTGACTTTGCATTTCTGAGCTTTGGAGGGAATTTGAGCTCATTATTTTATTGCAGTTTTGTTGTGGTTCATTCTCGCTGCTCTTATAGCATGGTCTAGGCTGCAGTAGGCAAGTGTTGACAACAAAAAAACCCACTAAAACACCTTCTTATGTAAGCTACCTGCTTAACACCAAACAGCAAACTTTCACAGTTATGGACTCGCTTGTAAACATGCTGAAGCTGTTTGCAGCCAAAGCATTAGATACTATGTCTCCTGGGAGTTAAAGGAAACCATAAATAGATGGTAAAGTATAGGACTTCCCAGTGAGCTCAAACTGGGATTCCATCAGTAAAAATCTGAATGAGCTCTTCCTCTCAACTCCATTCTATTCTATTCTCATCTATTTCTTTTCTATTTCTTAATCTACAACTATTCTATACTTTTCTATGTCTATTCTTTTTTGCTGTGTTCTGTTCTGTTCTATTTCTTTTCTATTCTGTTCTATTTAATTCTATTTCTATTCTATTATGTTTTAATTCTATTCTGTTCTATTCTTATTCTATTTTGTTCTATTTCAATTCTATTCTGTACTATGCTGTTCTATTTTTATTTCTAATCTATTTTGTTCTATTTCTCTTTTATTCATATCTCTACTCTATTTTATTTCTATATCTATCTCTATTCTATTTATATCAAACTATTTTATTCTGTTTTATTTCTATTTCTATTCTATTCTGTTCTATCTCTATTCTATTTCTATCTCTATTCTATTCCTTTCTGTTCTATTTTTATTTCTATTCTGTTCTCTTCTGTTTTTTTTTCTATTCTATTTCCATTCTATTCAGTTCTATTTCTATTCTATTACTATTTCTATTCTATTTTTTTCTGTTCTATTTCTATTTCTATTATTTTTCTTTTCTATTCTGTTCTATTTCTATCTCTATCTCTATTTTATTCTATTTCTATTCCTATTCTGTTTCTCTCTCTATTGTATTCTTTTCTATTTTATTCTTTTCTGTTCCATTTTTATTTCATTTCTATCTACCTCTCTATTCTATTCTATTCCATTCTATTTTATTTCCATTTCTGTTCTATTTCTGTTTTATTTTTATTTCATCTATTCTATTCTATTCTATCTCTATCTCTATCTCTATCTCTATTTCTATTTCTATTTCTATTTCTATTCTTTTCTATTCTAAAGTTCAGGACCTTGATGTTCGCGTTTTCCATACGCTAAGTTTCCATTGTGGTTTTCTGACACTTTTTCGTTTAAAATGGATTCTTGTTGAAACATTTTGTGTTTTCAAAGAGCTTCAGAGAGCTGAAATGATAATTGTGACAGAATCCATCTAAAGTCAGCCCCGGTTGTAGCTGAAATCCTGCCTGTGCAAATACATCATTTCAATACCTCTGGGAATATAATTCTTTTTTTTTGTCTAAAATCTTACACCGCAGGGATTCACAGGCTGTTTGATGTGAACCAGAAGGTTTAGAGACGTGGTGAAGGGACCACTTTCAAATAAGAGAAGAAGACCGCACATGCACAGTCCTCACCACAACAGCTACAACAGCTCAGTGTCAACCTCTCAGTGTTAGTGAATGAATTGCTGCATGTTGACGATGTGAAGAGCTTTATGTGAGTTGGGGATTAAAAACCAGCTGCAGTTATTTGCATGAAATGTATGATGAATCTTGCAACAGCAGGTTTTTTAAGTTAAATGTTCATTAAATAGGGATCTACAGAGAGTCAGTGAAAATCGTTCAGTTATAAGCTTGTTTTCACATCTTTTTTGAGAGCAGAATTCTCACTGGGTTGGACAGATCCAAAGTTCAAATCCTTGTCATTGAATTAGTGATTTATTGCAAATAAAAACGTCATTACAAAGCGGATAATTAGTCTCTATTGTATCCATAGATTGTTTATCACCCCCAAGAGACCAAGAAAAAAATGCATTCTCAGATTCTCATCTGCTTGTTGGACTGGAGTAATAAGAATAGTTTGAATAGAAATAAAAGTAAGAGGACTTCACAGTTTGCCAACTGGAGCTCAGACATTGTTAGTCAGAGCTTTTTGCCTTTGATCCCATCTGTGTTTGAAACTCCCACTTTTCAAGTGAAACACAAACTTAACAGCATAATTAGTCCTCCCAAATGTTCAATGTCATGAAGGGACAGATGTCTCAAATGTCACATATTCAGCTCTGTGTGCTCCAGTGGAAAAACAGAAAACACCTCTCGCATTAACGCTGAAGGCAGATCAGCTGTAACATTCACAAGTCGCATCTAGTTTGAGTGCTTGCCTTAAAAAGTCGGGCAAACGCAGTCAGTCAAACCTCCACACAAAGTTGTGAGGCTTAAAAACGGTTTCTGGCAAAGAGTTTGATCCTCTTTATTAAAATGTAAAGTTATGCGCCATAGCTGCACCATCTTTTAGCCGATAAGCCCGCACAAACAACTGAGGAGAATTCATTACTGAGTCAAAATCCAGCTGCATCCGGGCGTTTCTGACTAGTCGTGTCTGGAGCTCAGACCACATCATCCATGCTTGTTCTGCGTGTCCAGACCTCAGAGAGAAGTCCCAGCCGTCCTACTGATGGAGAGCGACATGTGCTGCCTTGACCGTGTAAAATCACCCCCCAGGGGCCTTTCGCCACGTTAAATGACACACACGGACCGCAACTGTCTTCCCCAGATCCTTGTCACAGGAACACTGTGGACGCTGACCAGTGCACACAGACAGGCGGGCAGAGACACAAGCACCACCTTCAAACAAACACACACACTAACACAAACACACACAGGCATGACAGCTCCGTCCCTGCGGTCTGTCAGAGTTTGTGCCAGGCAGCCTGTGCTTTGTGTTTGGAGCGCTGTGTTGCACAAGAGCGGCTCAGCCAGTCAATGGCCGGCAGCTTGGGCTCAGCGTGTGTTTTAGACGGGTGTCCAATTAGAGGAGCCTCCACTCTGAACTGTACAGGCCTAATTAGAAAGGACAGGACGAGTGAAACATGGCTCAGGGGGAGCTGAACTTAGAGGGGAGACAGTTTTGGACAACATGTACTGACGGCTTGAGAGTCTTCTACTTCTTCTCTCTCTTTCTCCCTCTTTTCCCCGCTCTGTGACAGGTCAGACTCTCTGCAGCTGGAGGCTTAACAGTAGAGCCTTCTCTCTTCTCTCTCGCTGAAATAGGATAAAAAATGAAAAAAAAATCTCTGTTGCCCCCCCCTCTGCGGTTATCACACTTTATCCAGGTTTCAAACACTCTTTACTCAAAAACGCCCTGCTGCCTATTGAAACATGGAGGACTTTACTGGTACAAGAACATGAATTTCTATCAAGTGTGGATTAGCCGAGTCCCACCAGCACCATGGAGGGTTTCACATGCATAGAAATGGAGGTGGGTTTCAGAGTGGAGCCATGTAGGATTGTGCTTTTCATAAAGGAACATTACTTAGTGATGAACACTGGTGCTCTGCCTCTGCATGAAAAGTTGTATTTATGCGTCTCTCTCAGGATTTGTTGATTTATTTATCAGCACCAGGAAGGATTTCTCCAATTGTTCTGTTTCGACATGTCTCCATGCCCTTTTCTCCCTCTGAAGGATTAGTTTGGTGCATGTGAAGCAATTTCAAACTTTTATTTGTGCAAACAGGATTTTTATGAAAAGAATAGGATTAGACTATAAAAGAAAAGCACTTCCTGTCATTTCCATTTTAGAGAGATATTAAAACATTAATGCGCCATAAAGGGAGGATAATGTAAGCATTAGAACAAGAACGGCCGAAATCTCAGCTGTGTGCTTTTCTCTTCTTCCTGCCCACCTTTTTCAAACACCTACGTGTGACTGTGTGTTTGTGTTTGCGCAGCGATCCCCTCCGCGCCTCGCAACGTTATCTCCAGTGTGAACGAGACCTCGTTGTCCTTGGAGTGGGAAGAGCCCGAGGATACGGGTGGGAGGAGCGACCTGGTCTACAACGTTGTGTGTAAGAAATGCCTGCGGGACCGGAGCCCCTGCACACGCTGCGATGACAACGTGGACATCGCTCCTCGCCGCCTCGGGCTGAGGCAGAGGAAGGTGGTTGTGAGGAACTTACAGGCTCACACGCGCTACAGCTTCGAGGTGCAGGCTGTCAACGGAGTTTCCGGGAAAAACCCCACTTCGCCAAGTTACTCCACGGTCAACATCACCACCAACCAAGCCGGTTAGTAACAGAAGATCAGTCAGTGACACTTAATGTGTCCACAAACGGAGTTAATTCTTTGGGCAGGTCCGATCAATACTACTTAACATCAGGATGGAGCAGGCTGGTTAGTGTATCCTCTACTCCGTCAGTGTCGATGAGTGTATCAGTGAGTTTCAGCAACCAGAATAGTGTTTACATATTCAGTTAACGCTGCTGGACAACCTTAGAGAGAGCGACATGTAAAAAAAAAAAGAACAGTCTAAGATTATTAAAGGGAACCACAGAAACGGGAGATTAAATCATAAATATATTCCTTATCTCCACTGTCAGCACTCTGTCATCCATGACCGTCAGTGTCACCTTTCAGCACCTCCTCTAAATTCCTGCAGTGTCATCATCATACAAACTGCTCAGCACCTTTCCACCGACTATAATTACTCTCCCAGTTAACCTGCACTTAATCCAGCTTTTTAAATTTATGGACCCAACACAATGACTGTCAATTGAGTCCCTTTCAGGCCTCACTAATCAATAAACTGCAGAGCGCTGAAGGTGAAACATGTTGTGCCATTTTCCTTAAATCGTTGGAGTTAAAATATTTTAAATAACACGATCTTATCTGGTTGGTTTGTGACTTTGTGGAAGAAATTCTATGCAGCTCAGACTCTGAAGTGAATTTCCATGACTCTAAGTGTAACCTGTGTCCTCTCTGATGTCTCACCGCAGCACCTTCAGCTGTGCCCACTGTCCATCTGATGCGCTCCACCTCAGATACTCTAAGCCTGTCATGGCTGCCGCCTGAGAAACCAAACGGGGTCATCCTCGATTATGAAATTAAATACCATGAGAGGGTAAGCTCCCACTTTTTTTTTTTTAGCTGTTGGATTTATCTAGGTCACAGTGCATTCCTTATTCAGTCTGAACTTTTCCAACCCTGTTACTAAAAAAGCCTTTTTGAGGGTGCGGAGAAATGAAACATGATTTGTTTGGAGGATGGGTTCAGTCCAGAAACGTCTGTTGTTGGAGAGTACTGGCCGGGCAGACTTAGAAAACTGGTGATGTAAATGCTGCATCACTGGTATCGATCCAGCTCCCTTGTAAAGCCCTGAAGATATTTTATGCATTTTTTATTAGATTTGATGGTAAAAACTTGGACCCTTCGATCCTTACAGGCTCTGTAAGACCAAAAACAAAACTGCATTAAAGAATGAAAGAGTCCGCGTCTCTTTTAGTGAAAGCAACAAGTCTAATTTTCTTGACTGACGGTTGACTGAAAACCAAGAAATTAAACTGGAGCTCCAGCAGCTGTTGATTATAAAAGAACAAAGCCAAAACAAATACTGAAATCTGCTACCAAACAAGCCGAGAACAAAAAGGAACAAATTTACCCAAATCGTCTGAAATTACTTTTAATTATTCTAAACAATAAGAAGTTTTGAAGTAGCAGTGGGGTTCACGGGTACATTTGTTTTTTCGGCAACAGTTTTCAAACAGCGAGATCACTATGGGTGAAAACAAGGTTGAGGAGGCTGCTAAACAATTCGTTTTGTTCGTTTTTTACACAGTTAGTAGTGTAAAGGTAGAAATAAACAACTTATACATCTGTGTGTGTTATGTATGTTTTCAAAATGTAAGCATGCTACTGTGTGTGACCCAAACCTATGGAATTAAGGACACTAATGTTTAACCCCAAGAACAAAAAGGGCTCCAATGTCAAAATTGAGACCCAACTAAAAATGGCGCCCACCATAAAATTTCAAATAGTAAGCCTCGCTTCTGTGTGTGACCTAGACCTATAGAATCAATAACATCTATGTTGGACCCCAAGAGGAACAAAAGGGGGAGGCAGTCCACAGAGGTGGTGGCACGACACAGCTCAGGCCCGTTGGTGCCCTGTGGGGTGCTAGTATATCTTTCTTTTTCTGGGGGATGATTTTCTTTAAACTTTATTTTTAAGTACAGAGTTTTAACATTAAATAAAGAACACAACATATAAACCAGACAATATAGAACTTTCAGGGCACCGAAGGAGATAAGGTGTGGTGTACCAAAGACAAACAAAGAAACATATAATAATATTGCTCTGTGTAGCATACCATTACAGCAAACCATCAGTGGGAGGCTATACTAGTTTAAAGATCGCCAGCATTTGCTAGCCTGGGCCAGAGATCATCAAAACCCAACTCTTACTTAAATATTTCTCAGTCAGTAAATAAAAGGGGCTTTTATGGCTTTTGAACATTTCCTTTAATCGGTTAAAGGAAGACCCTCGATGTGTTTGTTTTTTCTTTTTTTTTAAAAATGTTGTATGAAAAAAATCGATACAAATGAAGATTGATTGATCGAAAGCTAAAAAAACGCACAGTGATGTGTTTGTTAATTAGTGATCACTGTGGCTACTTTAGACAGTTATAGAAAAATGTTAATGATAAATGATGAATTTAATAAAGTTTGCAAGAACATAAAGTCCAATAACTTTGGTTTGATTGACACTTTGAGGCACGGAACAATAAAGTTAAATAGCATAAACTTACATTATTGAAAATCCACCAGGAGTCTGTTTAGAGTAAGAAAAGCAGCTACAGAAAAATATTCAATTTCCTGAAAAAACAAAGTAGAAATAATCTTTGCTCTTCCACAGTAATTGTTTGTTAATGTTAAACTTTCTTTTTTCTTCTTTTTTAATTTATCATATGATGCCAATGGAGAACTAAAACATTGGTTTTTCACGCCGCTGTTATGAAGAGTATCAGGAAACCCCTCATTCTGCGGCTCTTATGTGTCTTTGTTGGTTTCCAGGGCCAGGTGATGTCCCACACAGTGACATCCCAGCACAGCTCAGCCAAGGTGGAGGGGCTGAAGGCCGCTACGCCCTATGTGGTACAGGTCAGAGCTCGCACTGTAGCTGGATACGGACGCTACAGCAATCCCATGGACTTCAGCACCAGCCTCCACAGTACGGACAAACTCTCCTGCTTCTATCGTGATCTTGACGTCGTGCTGCTTTAGCTCTCTTAATGAGTGTTCCGGTTTAGTAGTTTTTATGAGCGCCTTGGTCGTTCGTCATTACACATGCAGCACAGGCCACCCTTTAATCTCTCAGGTGGGGCTCCTGGTGTTATTTACCCCTGTGTTTCTCTGTGTTTTTCCATCCAGGTGACCCTCAGAAGTCGGTGCAGGACCAGCTGCCTCTCATTGTGGGCTCGGCCTCTGCGGGTCTGGTGGTCATTGTAGCCATGGTGGTTATTGCTGTTGTCTGCCTTAAGTAAGTGTTTGATATTTATGGCTGACAGCCTGAAGTACATGTTTCATTTTGTTCGTTAGAGCTTGAACAAAGAGGCTCATTAAATTTTAACATGCTTTCAGAGGGTGCATACAAACTCTTTAGCTTCAAAAAAAGAAACTCTACAGAGGAGAAAAAATCCTGCTCCTCTGAGAGTTTCCTCCTGTGGTTTCATCTGATAGTCGAGTCAGATGTTAGTTTCAGTCGCTGTACCTGAAAATGCTCGGGTCTGATGATGTGAATGTGACTTTGTTTTCGTGCCGCTTGTTTACAGGAAGCAGCGCAGCGGCTCGGAACTGGAGTACACGGAGAAACTGCAGCAGTACAGTAAGTCTGTGTGTTCAGTCTGGGAACTACTGCTTGTGTGTTCATTTGGTCATGCCTGTGCAGTTATCCACCTGATTTAATCAATTATCCAATCACCTGATTGAGGCAGGACTATTTCCCTATTAGCACACAGGAAATCCTGAGCGTACTGTCTGCAGCATGTTTGGCATAAAACTCCTCTGTTTGTGTGAACTCTACAGTACAGGAAATGTTATTGAAATTTTCAGCCGATACCAAATTTTTTATTTATTTTCACAACATATTAAAAGCAGCCGCAGGCCAAAGTCTGCTTCATTTACAGTCATTTTCTGTTCATTAATGAGCTATGTCCCAGATAAATGAAGTAATGACTTTACAAAATAAATAAATTAAGATCAAACAGATCACATGAGCTGTTTGATCAAAAGTAAATAAATGTGCCCTTGAACTGGGTAATGAGCGACAATAAAATGCATATACTGAATTCTGTGAGGTCACTTTTCACTTTTTTAAAATACATCCAGTTGGCTCACTTGTTGAGAGGAAATCAATGCCCCCTCATACATCTGTCTGTTGACTAAAGAGCCCAAACCACAGGAGACCAGCTCAGCTTTTAGCCTAGCTTAGCACACAGACATGGAGCGAGCTAGCCTGGCTTCATGGAGCTTTTGATTGAAATGCCATCAGAAGCCCCTGACTTTCACACAGAAGCATGCTTCATTTTGTCTGTTTTGGCTCATTAAATCAAGGTCATGTTAACACTTAGAGGTTGCTAGGCAACCAGTGAAAAAGTCCAGAGAGTATCTGCCTCTGGCCATGAAATAGTCCAACATAAAGGCACCTATTAAAGCTTAAACCAGAGGCAGCAGTTTTGCTCTGGAGTTTCAGAGGGGAATAAACAACATAAAACGGGTTGATTATCTCTTTGTTACCTGAGCCCTTCTCCAAGAAATCTAGTCAGCAGATTTATACAAATTAAAAATATTACTATTAATACATTGATCAAATTGAACAGGAGTTTGACATTTACATACCATTTTTACAATGTTTGACCTCATGGGTTTTGTGTAGGGGTGCACCGATCACAATTTTCTGGCCGATCACCGATCTTCGAAAAGTTGACCGGCCAATACCAATTTTTTTTTAATAACTGACAACATACACCTTTGATGCTCCAATCCAATTTCAATGAAAAACATTGAATAATACAAACTTTTAATGTTTGTTTTAACTGCACATAAAATAATAATCCACTGGACAAACTAACAACACAATTTAAACCATCAGTAAACTGTCCTGAGTTTTAGGTTTCCTTGTAGTGAGTTCAACATTGGTTGGTCATACTCCGGATGACTGTTGTGTGTGCCGCTGGCGCAGACGCACGCATGTGTGCACACGTAACCTGTCATTCTGGCAGAGCAAAAAGCTACAGTGGCTGACTTTCAGACCTTTGCTGAGGTAGATAAGATCGGTGGATAAAATCGGTTTCACATGTAAGGATCAGTCGATCAACGATCACCCAAAATTGAGGAAATCGGCGCAGATCGATCAGCCGGCCGATTTATCAATGCATGTTTAGTTTTGTGTCAAAACATCAACATCTTACATTGATTTTCAGTCATAAAGTTGACTTTTCTGTGATTTCTGTCCCTCTCAGTTTCTCCAGGAGTCAAAGTCTACATTGACCCTTTTACCTACGAGGACCCCAACGACGCTGTCCACGAGTTTGCCAAAGAGATCGACATCTCCTGCGTAAAAATAGAAGAAGTCATCGGTGCAGGTAAACAGCGCCGTTGTTTTTGTCCAAGGGGACGGACAAAGATTCAGGGCTGTTAATCATTTATCAGAACAGGAGTGTGCCATCAAGCCCCGAGGTCTGTTCTGTGAAAAAATCCCTCTCTAGGATCAGAGTGTGCATGAGAGCTGCCGGTGGGAAGGATTGAAGTGAAAATCTTCTTGCAAGCTCTCCCCCCGAGTCTGTTTTTTTCTCTCTCTTTCTCTCTCTTTCTATCCAGCAGCATGTTGTGTCCTAACTTCACCTCAAAATGACAGTGTGGTCCTGCTCGTCCAACCCTCCCTCTTTTTTCTCTCTTTTTCTCTCCCTTGACGACACTCAGGCACCACATGCAGACCCCCCAAACTCCTTGCCCATCCTCTGTCTCCTTACACTGCTCCCAGGTTGAACACTCAGTCAATACCTGCCACTCCCTCTCTCCCCAACATCTTTGACCTTTGACCTGCCCCTTCTCTTCTCGAGTCCTCTCCTACAGCCGAAGCCGACCCTTGACTCTTTAAAAAAAGCTCCTTCACTCCCAAATCCAACCAGTAACGCTCCCTCTCCCTGCACTTTCCCTCCACCCCTCCTCCCACTCAATCCCCTACTTCCCATCACCTTCACCCCCTCTTACCCGTACCCCTCCCCCACATTGTTCTCTCAATCCAGGTGAGTTTGGCGAGGTGTGCCGCGGACGTCTCAAACAAGCCAGCCGCAGGGAGATGGTCGTCGCGATCAAGACGTTAAAAGCGGGCTACACAGAGCGGCAGAGGCGGGACTTCCTCGCAGAGGCCTCCATCATGGGCCAGTTCGACCACCCCAACGTGATCAGGCTGGAGGGGGTCCTGACACGTAGCTGCCCCGTCCTCATCATCACAGAGTTCATGGAGAACGGAGCGCTCGATTCTTTCCTCAGGGTAAGCTTGACAAGAGGCGTGTGCTGCGACACCTCTGACAGAGAAGATTACTTTCTGTTTGTATCAAAGCAGAGACGAGACGAACACACACACGCACACACACACAGAGACAGTCATTCACAACACCTCTGGGTTATCGGAATGTTTTACTCTCTGTAAAACACCCCGAGGCGCTCGCTTGCTGAGTGATAGAGATTAAATGTGCAATATAACGCCTGCAGACAGGCATAGTGTCTCTGCCTGACGTGACTGACTGATGCTGACAGGCTTTGCAACACTCAAACTCCTGGTGGAAAACTGTCACCGAGTAGACCTTTGGATACGTTTGCAGCTCTGTATTAGAGAGTCTTTGTGTGAATACTGCAGAATACATTACTGATCAGGGTTTGTTACAGACCACCTCCACCTACACAGAATCGCTGAACAAAGGCAGGATGAGAAATGAGGTGTCGCACAGTACATTTCCAGCTGCGTGGGGCCATTACATGTCATTTACATCCAGTAAATGTGTTTTCTTGCATGACTGCACTGTGAAAAAGTCCACTTACTGTTACTGTGTGGCCTGATGAGGTTACTGGAGGCGTCTGCTGGATCGGTGTCCTTGTACTGGTTTTTATGTTTGTGCGACAAACAGCTGATTATTTGGATGTCGACAAATTTTTGGTTTTATCTTTAAGAGTAACAGACTTGTTTAATCAGTCTTTATTTTAGTCTGTTTGATGCTCGATAAGAAGTAACTATTGCGCCGTTGACTGTAGATCTTGGTTGCATGATGTGCCAACCTCATGCTGTTCATGTTTCCTGCCCTAACAGGCACAAAAATGCCCAGTGCCAATAAAATACGCCTGAAGATTTAACAGAACTAATTTAAGTCTAAGTAAGTAAGTAAGTACTCCACAAACTCAGACACATTTCAGCTAATTTTGACTCGAGGTTTTTACTTCTTTCACTCTGGTTCCAGCAGAAAAGTCTTGGATGACATTTAATGTTACTGATAATATCCAGAGTGATCTGTTATGAACATTTGCAGACTCCAGCTTCACAATATTGGCTTCTCCTTTTTTTGGCAAATACAAATATTTTGAGTTGTCCTCTTAAATTTGTAGACACTGTGAAGGACATTTTCATTTTGTATAATCATATAGACCAATGACTCGTAACAAAGGCACAAACACAGAGCAATGAAAGAGGATGTAGTAGGTTTTTTTTAAATATTTTTAAAAACAAACATTTGGTGAAAATGTTGGATGTCAGTTCCATACATGAGCAAATTTTTTGATATTAAGTTTAATATGCGTTGAAGTAATCCCCAAATGGGACTACAGATCGATCTGAATGACTTGTTCAAAAAGTCACACAAGAATTCAGTGAGATCAATGAGAGATTTTCGCTAATCGTTACGTTACCTCACCAATCTCCTTAAAAGATCAAAATTTTCATTTTATAAAAAAGAAATGCAACTTTTTTGCATGGCAACAGTGAAGGAGGCTTTCAGAATGCAGGGTTCTGGAATGTTGGGGGGGGGGGTCTTAAAGGGACAGCAGCTTACATGAAGCCTCTCAGACTCGGAGGCTGACATGAGGGTTTTCAAAGACAGCAGCTGGAAATATGTTAGTGTTTGTTGAACTGTAAATCATGTAAAGCTGCTAAGAAGCTTTTAGAGGGACAATATAAAGCCAAAAATAAGCATAATACCCCCTCTTTAGTGATAATATGAGGCACAATGTCACTGGCTTAGTGGTTTAGAGGTCTGCCCCGTGCCCCCAATAGCCAAGTTTTTCATCCAACTATAATCCAGACCCTTTCCAACCAGTCCGGTAAAAGGTTAAAAAACTTAATCTGTGAGAGTGTGCACAAGTCAGGATGAACACATGAGTCTTTCTGGAACTCAAGTACAGTACATTACTGGGCCTGAAGGTTGTCTCAAGACTCATGACCTGACTTGGACCTGAGCAGTGATGTCTCACACTCGAGCATTGACCTTATTAGGATGGTAGAAGAACTTGGACCCATTTTTTCAACGCAGACTTTTTTGTTCGTTTTTTAATGGCGGATGGGTTGTGTGTATTTCGGGGTCTATTAAATACCTGCAGTGATCCCACCACAGCAGAATCAATGAGTGTGTTTCCATAATTAAAAGTGCGGAGGACACATTTACCTCGACACACAGTTATGTCACTTAAATGAGCGTTTATATCTTCTGACACGCTGAGATCCCACACAGTCAGTCCGTCAGTCAGTCCACACTCATACAGTGAGCATTTAGAGATAAAACAGCAGCCCTCTGAGTTATGAAGTATAATAATGTAGACTTCGACTCAGGCAGTGGGGACTTTACAGAGACTCAATTTAGGTTCTCCTGTAGCGGCTTTGGTTCCACTAAGACTTGAGGCGTTGGTATCTCGACTACAGCGTGAACTAATAATATTTGAATAGTGGAAATCGGTGCATGTACTGAATCTGCCTTTTCTGCTCACCTGTCTGTCCTCCCCGACTCGTTTACTGACACAGTGAATACGTCCACTTATATGCAGTTTTGACATGAAGGACAAAAAGTGACATCACTTCTCAAGGTTCAAGTTTACTATGATCACAAAAGAAATTTGGTTTGCAAACTTCTCTCAGGATGATAAAAAAGTTAAACCTTGTATCACGCTCTACTTTGTTTGAGTCCTGGAGATAAATCGCACACACTACACGGTGTCTACCTCAGGGTCTGTTTTATGTCATGTTCTCGCTCCTGAGGACGCCCTGAAGGACGTGTGTATAACAACTTTGGAAAATTTTAGGGTAGACTGTCCTAAAATTTTCTAGAAACTTACAAGTGTGTGAAAAGAGCCGTTTTTTATTTTCTCCTTCTTAATCTAAATTGCTACCTCACTGAAAACCATCCAACTGGCGAAAGTCTGAATAGGTGCTCTGTTTTAACTGCCTCAGCCTGTCTTCTCTTGCTCCTTCCTCTGAAAACCACCCTTAGCTCCTCCTTCAGTGCTGAGTCTGATCTTACCAGTGTCATGTCAGTGTCACTTTGTTCTGTTCTGCAGTTATTTTGCGGCTGAAACTCGGCCAGCTTTGGTTTTTCACATGCGCACGAGGCAGTAGGGGAAGTATGATCTCCCCACTGTAGGTTCTGGCATTTCACGTAAGCACATGGAAGGGCAGAGAGCTCTCAGAAACAGAGCCACGTCGCCAAATATAACTGTCCCATACAAGTAATTAATTCTTCTGGCAAATGAAACGCTCATTTTGGCACAAACACATATCTGTTATGTGGCTAATAGACCTCTAAAATAAACCCGACTAACGAGAAATCTACATGCTTTTGGTGTTTGGTGGGTGTTACTTTCAGTGCTATTCTATTTATTAATCTGTTTTTCTTATATAACTTTTAAAAAATATTTTTCTATTTAAAATATGATTTTAAAAATCTAAGCAGACCTAGAATCCAGAAATGTCAGTTCTTCACTTTGGACAGTGTGTTAAAGTTCTTTGTGTTCTTAACATAAATTAATTTTACAGTATATGTGCCAAGACTAAAAAAACAAGTGCTCTACCAAACATATTTTAATATGTACCATTGCACCGCTACTGAACAGTAATAAAAAGGGGGTTTCAGTCAGTTCAGTTACATTAGCAAATTTATATCGTTCCATATTACCAACAATTTGATATGAACAATTGAAATGTTCCTTAAAATTAGTGTGTCTGATCTGAGTTTGTTTAAAAGTTCAAGATTCAGGGATAAGAAATAATGAGGTTTCATTTGTGGTTTTGGAATAAAGTCAAATTTAAACGTCTAAAAATATATTCTATAAAATTCCCTGATCTAAGCACAAAGATAAAGGTAAAACTGTACACATGTCAGTGACGGATACCTCATACACTGATTCAATTGAAGTGGTGGACAATAATAATAAGCTCAATGTTTTAATGTAATCTTACAAAAGGATAGACAGTTGAGGTTTAAATGGTTCCAGATCACAGTCTGTGGTTCTTCTCGCTCTGCTGACTCACTTCAGGCAGGTATTTTTTCTTATTACGCTGAGAAGAAGGAGTTTTATCTCTGTTGCTCAGTTAACAAAAATTATCTTTTTAGACTGGTAGCACTCAAAAACAAGAAGGAAGACTAAATGATGGAAATATTTGCTGTATTTGTGAATTATTAGTATTAACCCACATAGAATTAGCTTAGCTTGTGTCTTGAGCTTCTTTAGTGATGTGTGTAGTGTTGGATGAGACACCGATGGAGATGACGTGTTGTGTTTCTACGTACTTGTCGTGTGTTTTGATGATGCGTTTTATTAACAAGTAAATCGTCTCTCCTTTCTCTCACTTGCTCAGTACAACTCTGTTTACCTTGTGGTGCTGAGAGGAAAGTGGCTGTGTGGCAGATATTAGTACCTGCATATAAACTATTTTTAATGTAATTTGATGAGCGGGTCAGTTTTTCTGTCTTCTGAGTTTAACATAACCAAGTAAGAGGAGCAGACGGTTAGCTGGTGGAAGCAGCTTAAATGAGAGATATAAGGTGATAAAGGTAATGCAAATGACTTTATCAAACATATCCAATCACTTTAAATACAAATTAATTCACTATTATTTAAATGAATTGATCTTTTGATAATTTATGTGAGATTGCTTTTGCGGCAGCTTCCTGTGAGACATGTATATCAGCTGCATTTTTATGAGAAGTGAATGTTTTCATGTTCTGAGTTGCTGTTTAGAAAATGTGAGCAGATCCAAATAGCTGCGATTAGACTCATTATCAATTAATTTGACAATTACTTTCTCAAAAATCCCTTTATCATCTTGTTTGTGAGATGTCAGAAAACAGCGAAGAGCCGCGGGTAGCGTCTTCTAAAAGCTCGCTTGTCCGACCAGCAGCTCGCTGTCGTATAAGAGAGGCAGGAAATTGTCACATCTGAGGAGCTGAAAGCAGAAAATAATGATGATTTCTTCTTGAAACCCTGACCGAAACGATGAAACAATTATCAGGTAATTGCCAATTAATTCCGTCTCTTGGATAGTGTAATGGACAATATTTACTATTTCCTGACATTTGACAGACGGACAATGAAAGCATGGGCTGATTAGTCAATCATTAGCTTCATCTCAGAGTCCAGCCTGAGCCTCCTCGTCCTCCTTCTCGCCCTCCTCCTCTCACTCAGCTGTCCCGCAATAACACAAATGTTTCCGAAGCCTCCATGGCCTGTGCTGTCCTCACTCCAGCCCCCCACCACCACCACCACCTCAGTGTCACTCGGCCGCCTGCCTGTGACTCAGAGGAACTCTGAGTAGTTTTCTCGAGAGGACACCCAGGAGTTAACAACGCACACACACAAACTGTCCATATACGACTTACACACACATGCATATACTCTTGTGGATGCAGATTTACAAAAATAGCACACACACAGACACACACACATCTATGCATACACAACTCTGTGGCTTTGAGCGCCTGCTATGAATCATGGCTGTTTACACATCCATCCATCCCAGCGTGCTTTGCTGTCAGACTTCAGTGGAGTGTGCAGACTACAAAGCAGGATGTTTATGGTTTTGTCATGTCACGTCTTGTGTTCTTTGCCGTCTCTTTTCGCAGTCAAAGATGGGATTGATTATGTTGAAAATTGTTCCTTTTTTTCCCCTGTTGAAATTCTACTTAATATTCAGGTCAGGAAAAAAAACTCACAGGGTTGTTGCAGCCTGATCTAGGTTTGCAGAAATTCTCTTTTTTGATATCAGGTAATTGTGTATCGACGTAGGATTGATTGGGCTCAACACACATACTTGAGGTTTTTCACGAGGCCTCACAGGTTGGAGTCTTGTTTTATATCCATCTCCAGTTCATCTCACCACGTCGCGCTCCCTAAATGTGGAGAATTTTGAATTAGACCCTGAAACCCCCGATCTCAGATTTTGTTTTTACGCTCTTCAAATGTTAATAAGAGAGGGCAAAAACTCTGCAAATGAAGGACTCTTAAAATGGGTGAAATAAGCTTGGAGCAACATGCATTTTTAATCCCGGGAAGGCTTTCTGCTTTGGTGTTCACAAAGCAAAGGGGGAAAAAATGCAAACAAAGCTTGGTGTAGAAATCCAGAAAAGGTCATGTGAGACCGTGAATATTGAGTTCCATCTTCAAACGTTCCTCTGATGGAGAAACATGCATATTTTCTCTTGAATTTTGGGTTTGAAAAAGGATAAAACTGGATAAAACGTCATTAAAATGTTCACTTCCCTATGAATGAACCTGTTCTTTTGAAACCTGTTTGTATCTGCTGCGTTTAATCTGCTCTGTAGATTCAGATATCATTTTCAAAAATGACAGGCTGTTGAAAACTGCAGCTTGTTTCGAAAATGGGAGAAATTCCTTCAGTTCATCCCGGTTGTGATTGTTGCAGCTGGCTTTGTTTTCATGTTGGAGCTAATATTGAGTGTTAATGGGTTTGGTCCGACAGTAAAGACTCTAATTAATCAGCTAATTGGACAGCCAGCGTGAAAAGGTCAGCCGTCAGTGACTGTCAGGAGCATGATGACAGATGTCATGTTTATGCGTCCTCAGTGACTGATCGACTCTCTGGTATTTCTCCTTATCTCCTCTCTTTGCTCTTCTCCATCGTCTCCTTCCCCGTATTTCAACACATCTTTTTTTCTCATTTCTCATTCCCCTGCTTCTCCTCGCCTTCTTCATTAACCTCCTCTCCCGCTCTCTCTCCCATCTCCCCTCCCCCCTCCTCGTACTCTATCTCTGGCTCCTGTGTTTTTGTAGCTGAATGACGGGCGCTTCACGATGACACAGCTGGTCGGGATGCTGCGTGGCATCGCTGCTGGGATGAAGTACCTGTCAGATATGAACTACGTCCATCGAGACCTCGCTGCCCGGAACATTCTAGTCAACAGTAACTTGGTGTGCAAGGTCTCAGACTTTGGCCTGTCTCGCTTTCTGGATGACACGTCTGCTGACCCCACTTACACCAGCTCCCTGGTCAGTATCCTGAGTGCATGTGTGTTTATATACTGTCTGTCTGTGTATGAGTAAACATACATAATTGAGCGTAATGATTAGTTTCCCTTCACTTGTCTCACATGTACATATGGAGGCATGTGAGTCTGCTCATGTATGCCAATATTTGCGTTAGCGTGCGAAGCGGCCTGTGAAATTTGCATTAGCTTCTGCATGTCTGTGTTTGCAGTCATGGGACTGGAGTGTGACTTCAGCTGATACCGACCCCCCTCTATTTGTTTGTGTGTGTGTGTGTGTGTGCGAATCAATGTTGGTGAGCAGGGAGGAAAGATTCCCATCCGGTGGACAGCGCCTGAGGCCATCGCCTTCAGAAAGTTTACCTCCGCCAGTGATGTGTGGAGCTACGGCATCGTCATGTGGGAGGTGGTGTCCTATGGAGAGAGGCCATACTGGGACATGAGCAACCAGGATGTGAGTAAGCTTTTCATGATACCAAACATCTCTGCAGGCTAAACATCCCTTCAGTGAGCATGAACCGGGGTTCAGGGCTGAAATTTGACTGAAAACAGGAGAAAATTGGGACAAACCATCAAAGACCAAATCTCAGCTGGTATTCAATCAGCTGTACGTCATTTCTAAAAACTCTCTTTTGTTCTGTGATTATTTTAAACTCTTTATTTTAGGGGTAAAGGAAGGTTGGAAACAATTCTTCTGATGAAATCTCTCCAAAGTTACTCTTGATATGCCGTCTGTGCAAAGACAGAACTTTAACACGTTTTATCTTTCAGACAAAATCGAGCGTTATCGCTCAGAGACATCTTAAAAAAGCAATTTTCAACATTCAACAAAGAGTAAACTATGCATGCGCTGGTATCTGCGCTGTGTGCCTCTGACTGTGGAGGCACTGAGATGGCTGGATGCTGACACAAGTGATTAATACCTGCTGGCACCATCTGTAAGAATAAAACACTTGTAAATGGATGATGAACCTGCAGACAGAAGATTCCCCATTAAAACCTGGTCTAGACACAAACATTTAATCCCTGTCTACAAAAAGATGTAGTACTTACTTACGGGGTTTTGTCTTATTTGGCCTTTTCCGAGTTGAACTCCTGACTATTTTCAGACAAATTCAGGATATTCAAGTCCTGAAATTTTCTGTAATTACCTTTCACAAACATCTCATACAGCGGGAGATCATTTATGCCAGCTTTTATATTTTAACAACTTGGTTTAGTTAAGGTGACTATACTCTGACTTCCCAAAAAGAGGACACGACTACATGGGGGCGGAGTCACAACGTTGCATGAAGTTAATTTTGAGAGTTTTTCAGGTCGGACCGAGTGTCTTTTACTGAGCTTCTAACTCAGTTAGTCCACATGATACAAACTCAAAACTTCCATACGGACATTTGAAGGACTTTATAAACTTCCCTGGACAAACCCAGACATCCCCCGAGAAAGAGGACATGTCTTGGTAAAAGAGGACGAATGGTCACCCTGGTTTAGTTAAAGTGAGGCAGGTTCAAGCATGCAGAAGATGAGGACTTGATTAAATTTGATTTGCAGTACAAACGCAGTGGTTCAAAACCCGGACAACTGAGGCGAGCAGAAAAACGGGAAATTCCACTCAATGTAAATGACGTCATCTACCCACCCACTCACTTCAAACTATTACCTTCTCCGTCAGCTCCCCCTCACCTCCTGCAGACTTTTTACCAAAAGGAGGGCAGGAACTAAAAAGACTGCATAAAGTTTGGGTGAACCGATTCAGACATTTGTGTTTAAGCAGGAAGCCAACTCAGGTAATAAAATTTTCAAGAGTGCGGCTCGTGTGTGAAAGGCACTTCAGTTCAGGGCCGGCGCAGAGTTTTCTCTGAGCAGTTGTTGCTTTGATTTCTTGTATGACTTGTCAGCCCTGCGCTCTTTATCTCCTCATTGCAGATGCTTTTGCAGCTGTGTTCAACCTTTCTACCGCCTTATTTGCAGCTTTTCCTCCCTCTACAAATCCAAACTGCAAAGCTAAACTCTTCACACCAACAAAGGAATACTCCAAAGCTTTTTTAGTTTTTTTTATTCAGGCGTTGTTACCTGTAGGCTATCTGCACAGCACAGACATCACAACTATAGCGGTGAACGCACAGGAAAGAAACCTCCTGGTTCCTCCGCTCTGAACAAAAGCGCTGAAGGGATGTGTGCGCCATCGTTTTATTCCCCAAGGAATATCTGCCCTGTATTGTGCATCAAAAAAGAAACTTGTAAAAGCTGATAGCAATAAAGCAAAAAAGAAGCCGAAATGAAAAAATGTCAGTAATGTATGTATAACTTTCATAACAAAACCCACATGCAGTAATGAAAGCTTCAAAGTCAAGGCCCTCTATTGTTCCCAATAGCCTTTTGTGCCACAGTCATCGCTCAATAAGCAACAGAGTCAACAAATGCGAGATATAAACAGAGGTGCTCGCCCAGCTAGGAGCACGACATAAAAATCAAAGGACAAGCAGCAGGAGGAGAGGAGTGCAGCAGAAATGTTTTATTGTTCCCAAATGGCAATTTTTTATTGTTGTGGGGAGTTTAAAACCCATACAGAGCTTACAGAGGGGAAAGCAGTTGCTAGGCGAAATCAAATCAATGAGCCAACGTTTTCATCCTCCACTTATTGTTTCTCCCATCAATCATGCCACTTTTGAAGGAGCAACTTTGAGAATCCTTGAGAAAATTGTTTTTATAGTTTTGTAAAGATGCTGAAGAGAAGATTGGAGTGTGTGACAGCGTGAGCCGAGGCACTTTACAAAGTAGGACATAACAAACAGTGTGACTGAGGATTATTCTTTCACCGCGCTAACAAAGGCCAAACAGAGTGAGCATAATACAAATGAGTCAGAGGCAAATGTTAACACTCTGTTAAAGCACCACATAAAACCTGCTCTAATCCCTGTTCAGATTCTGGGTTTGTATCTTAAATCGTAAGGATGGAGCTCATGCCAAGTATTTCACTGCTGGTGTGGATGTTAACTTCAGATGGCTGCTTTTGTTCAGAGTAGAGGAAATCTCAACAACAAGTCGATGGAATTTCAAGTCGGACGAGCTGGTTTGACAAAAGATCAGAAAAAACGAGCACGATTTGTTAAACATGGATAAACACTGCCCTCAACCACGCCATGTGCAGCTTTTCTTTAGTAATATCTGAAACATTCGCCGTTTTCTTCAATCACGAAATCAGCAAACTTTAAAGTCCCACTCTGATTGTTTTTTTTTACGAATCAAAGTGTTATCAATGGTTTTTAAATTGTGATTATGAAGTTTTTAGTTAAAATCACATTACCTGTGTCGTTTGTAAGGGCTTTACTTCTGCTGAGCTCCAGTAGCTCATTAGCAATTCGCCTCTGAGTCGTGTGCGGAGACAGTGCTGCTCTGCACACTTCTCCTCACGTTAGCTTGCAGCCTAACATTGCCAGTGTAGTAGATGTAACAGGCAACATAGGAGATATTCATCTCTGTGACAGTAATATCTTTGTGGACACAATGAAAGCTAATGTCATAATTAACTTTCTTTCGAGCACTAACTAACTTTCAATCCACTAATGCAGACGCTTGTTCCGCGATCGTCCTCCCTATTTCTCCGAGCCTGGCCTGCATAACAGGGATCTGGGGGCGGAGCTTGGATTGGTTACGTTGGAAATCAAACTGTGTCTGAGCTTGCCGTTTGGGTCTGTCAGAGATTCACAGCGATTTCAGTGCATAAATACCTGGATATGCAATTTTGCACTTTTTTTTTCATGATATGTCCTCTAGTATCAGAAAAATAACAGATGAACATGTAGACAAAAAGAAAAACATGATGTTCATCGCAGTGGGATTTTAAATTTGTTGTGCTTGCAAAGTGTATCATTCTTCCACAAACACAAATCAACACGTAAAATTTAAAATACAAGAAATAATATTCAAAAATTATCATCAGTCATCAGATAAGATATGAAAAGTTGACATGAAAATCATCAGTGGGGCCTTGATTGGTGTTTTCATGCTGTCAGTCAACAGTGTGTTGTTGTCCTTTAACTTTAACCAGTGCACACACATTACATAGTTCTTAATTGTCTGTTGAAACAGTTTAGTTTTACAAATCAACATGTCAACATGCTCTGGAGAGAGTCAAGGCCTCAGTCTATTTACTGTGAGTCTAACCGCAGTGAAAACCCTCTCATCCAGGCACAGATGTTGCAGGCACACATAGATAGCGTTTGCAAGCTGGCACAGTTTTGGAAAACACTGCTGCTTCTCCCTGCTCCACTATGAGAGACGCTCCTTTAACAGGTCCATCAGACAGAGCTACCCTCCTCCCAGCTGAGAGCAGAGGTAGCAGCGTTACAGCATAACACACTTAAAGTTTGGAGTCGACTTGTGAGGTTGGTGACATTTAACCATTTAGTGGTCACCTTGGGGCTGGGCGATAAGCTGATACCATAATTTACGACAACAACCAAAGTCATTTTGCCCATGTCAATATATATTCAGTGTCAAAAATAATAAATAAATAAAAAAGTTGGTTTTGGATGTGTGTAGGTAGGCTATGGTCTCATGTCCCTTTAAGACGCTGTCCTACGTCAGAGACGTGACTCCACCCCATCCAGTCCCTAACAGAGAGGGAAAGACGGGTGAGGAGATGGAGGACAGTTCAAAAGTTGTAGCGGCTGGAAGTTGACATAGGAGGGGGTGAGCCGCTTGTGGAGTAGTTATCACCCATTTATTGTTATCAAGGTGGACTGCTCAATATATCGTGATATTGATTTGAGGCCATATTGCCCAGCTCTAGATCATCTCCAGGTCAGAGAAAAATATCTTGAGTCAGATTGGATCACTTCTAGTAAAATGATCCTGTTACTTTCATTACTTGGTGCTGAAAAGGACAGCGGATAAATTGCTTGTTAGAGATGCAGTCTTCATCCTGGGAACACACCACCTTTATCCTCCAAACAGAATCAACACAACATTTAATGCCCTCACACAATCATAAATCTCAAAAACCAAAGCTTTGAACTTATTCATCCTAAATTACTTCTCGGGACTGTCACGCTGAAGGTGGGCGCCCCATCAGACTTTGAGATTCACACAGGTCTGAAGTGTCTAAACACAGCATGAAAGAGACTTTCTTGTCCCTAAGGTGATGACAGCAGTGGAGCAGGACTACCGGCTTCCCCCGCCCATGGACTGTCCCATGGTGCTGCACCAGCTGATGCTTGAATGCTGGATGAAGGAAAGAAACCTGAGGCCCAAGTTCTCCCGCATCGTCAGCACCCTGGACAAGCTGCTCCGCAACGCCGCCAGCCTTAAGGTGGTGACCAGCTCCTACTCAGGGTGAGTCTGTATGCGGTCTCCACACTTCCTGTTGTTTAATTTAGATGGATTTGTGTCCAAAGTGAGGTGATTGGGGTTTCAAACAGAGAGGAACTATTAGAAAAGGTGTTAGAAGAGCACCAGCTTGATAAGTTTGCAGAGAGAGAGAGATAGAAACTTCTCAGACAAGCTTGCTGATTTTACTTTTTAAAGAGCTGCGGCAAAAACCCTCACTGGGTTTAAAGGCGACGTTAAGAGGGACAATTGTGAAAAAAAAACTTAGCACACATAACAACCAGAGCTTAGAGTCAAAGCAGAAGCTCGTCGCAGAAAGGCTTTAATATTTCACCGCGAATTTACAGGAACTTTCATCAGAGGTGGGCTGTGTTTTTGTTGCAGTTTGGCTGCTACTGTAGCTGACCTTTGTTGAAAATATATATGCATTATTCTGCTGCAGGGCTCTCTATAGAAGAGCCAAGTGCTTTTGAGGTTTTTCTACAATAACAGCAGGATAGTTTCAACACAAAAAAAAAGGATGATGCAATTGCCTCCCTTTCACCTTGTGTGAGATAGCCCTCTGTATTGGATATGACGGCTGTGAGGTGCAGAATGAAGACCCCGTGCAGTGCGGCGTTGAGTGGAGGAGTGTGTCTGGGTTTGTTAGAAGAAGATGTCCATGAAAAAAAACCTTAAAGAAGCACAACAGAAGCTCATGCTTGTTGGGCTGTGTTTGTTTTATGCTTTCGGTTGATGGTGGAGGATTTTTCTCTCAACTGAAAGATTTTTTTGCTTGACAGACATCTGCCTTTTTTTTCCCCTCAGAAGTGAAAAAGTTGACTTATTCATAGGTAGTCGTCCTCAAGCTGACGATTGTTTTTTAACTTTGTTTTGAGAGCAGCGACTCCGAGTGTTTCAGCTACTTTCACTGACGTGTTTGTTCTGAGTTTTGTTCGCCTGGCACCCAGTCAACAGTCTGATTAGTGCTGCTTTAGATGCTGGATCCTCAGCTCTGTAGTGATGTATAATGAATCAAGCGCACATCCTCATCTCTGCACGACGGCTTCCTGTTTCCGACAAAAGGCACAAAAGGCTGAATTCATACATACAGTATCCAGGTCTGGTGCCAGCTCCTTGGCCCAGAGTTTCAGTCTAACACAGAGCCCCAAGGGTGACTCCTATGCCAGGATCCTGGCTCAGTGAAGCTAATTGTGTGTGGAAATGTAATGGCTGACCTCGGTTTAATTCCCCCTATACTTGGCTGGATGCTGGAATGTAGGTGATAGGACAGACAGCAGCCAGAGCTGCTGATGTGGAAAAGCAGGAGGTGATGAAGTGTGAGTAATAAGGGAGATTGAGGAGACGCTAAAAGAGAGGAATGTGTTTAATTAGGTTGCTAATGAGCTTTTTAATGCATCAGGGGAGGGTGCGCCCAATGTTGGGATGAGCCAATAGGAAGAGAGTATGAGTGTATGTGTGTGTTTATGATGCAAATATATGTGTGTGCGTGCATGTTAAGCTACATGTTGCAGCGTGGAGATGACATGCCAATGATTAATTTACAGCCTCATCTGTATGCACCAGCAAGAGCGATAGACTATAGAGGAAGAGGAGGAGAGGGAAGGGATGATGTTGTCAGAGCATGATTCAGGGAGCGTCTCCTGTGTTGGTGTGTGCGTCTCCTGCTCACCTGCCATTGGCTGCCGGCTGATGCTGGGGCAGATAACAAAAGGAGGGGGAGAGAGGATATGAGATGCAGCGCTATCTGTAGAGTATCTTCAGCCACCCGGGCCTTAAAAACAAGGACACTGGCCGAGGAACAAAGGACACTCGCAGGCTGCCACGCCTCGCCCAAGATAGCAGAGAAATATGTTGAACTTTTATTAAAACTGCAGATGTGATGAATAGATTTGGCTCGGCATTTGAGTTAGACTTTATTTATCGCAGATGATGCTCTCGATCAGCAGATTTTCACTCTCCCGTGTTTTATTGTTTATATCCACAAGGTCTAAGGTGCAAATACTCTGCAGAATTTAGCTACACCAGCACAAAGATGGATAAGACCTTTATCCACCTTCAATGAGAGCACTTAGCAAAGTAATAATGAGCTGTATCTTTTGTTTAAAGTGCCTGTGAACCTGCTGCTGACCTGTGCGGCTGCTTTGTGTTGGCAGGGATCTGCTGCGGCTCGGGGGGACACTGCCGGGACATAACAGGAAGAGTCCGGACAGCAGTCAGGAAATCGTTCGGCAACAGATGAGCCAAACCCTCCCCATCCGAGTGTGAGCCGACGATACAGAGCAGTTCAAAACTACCTGAAAAACTCTGACGCCAAGAGCCCGATGTAACATAAAAAGAAGAAGAAGAAGAAGATTAAAGAAGGAGGAGAGAGAACGACGACCGTGTCGGAGATTTCTTTCCAGCTGGAAAAATTCAATGTGCGTTAAAGAGACTTTTCATTGCAGTGTGTGCGTTCATTACTTGACACTTGTGGATTTGTGACTATTGACATAAACCAAACTTCCTATTGCCCCTTCTCAGGTTGTGTTTGCATGTCTGCATGTGTTTTCTGCTGGTTGGGAATCAGACTTTTCTTCTCTCCGCCCTCAGATTGAGGACTCAGTGCCAAGATAGAGCAAACATTTGCTTGAAATGAACTTTTAAGACAACTCCAGACTTCCTGTACACTTTTAATCCCATCAGTCCTCTCCTTTTCTTTTTTTTTTTTGTTCCTTTGAACCCAACCAACTTTATTATTTTATTTTCTTGTTTTCAGGAACAAGAAAAAAGACACACTTTTCATCTGCTTCCTCTTAAATACCGTCTTCCACATGTACCGGGAGACAAACTTGTTACAAAAGTGTACAAAGCATCCGAGTCTTCACGCCATCTCTCTGTCAGAGCGGGGGTGGAACTGACACTGTGCGGGACACGTCATGTGCATGCCAAAGTGGAAACTTCTTCATGAGAAAACTAGAAACGAGTTCCACGATTGCTGTTTGCTTTGGTGGCATTTTGCTGTACGGACTTTAACGTCCAGGTTTTCTTAACCTTGTTTGATTCATATATACATTGTTTTTGAATGCTAAGTTATTATCTAGTTATTGCAAAGAGGTGTTTTTTTTCTGTGTGTGTTTTTTTACAAGCACCGGGGCTTAAACTTTTTTATTACACTGCTTGTTTTTTCACACATTGACGAACCAGACAGACATGAATGAGTGAGTTGAAGGAGGAAACGTTCTGCACAGACAGAATGAGTTTGAGGAGACTTTTCGGAGATCGCCGTTTCTTAAAAATGTAAAGCGCCAGTGGTAGTGCTGTGGTGTGAACGTGTTGCCGATCATAGGGAATTAAAAAGGTCACGATCCAGATCATAACGTCTGCAACCTGAATATTGAGATGACCTACAAACATTGATGTAGAACAAATTCACTCATTGGTTTATTTCTCCTGACATGTGTTTTCTTCAGCACGCCAGCTGTCAGAGCAGTTCCTATCCAAAACAACTGCCTGTAAATAATACTATATTTCTATTAGAGCAGTCGGCTCAGCATTCACAACAATCTGACCTGACTGTGGCCTCTCTATGACCCTCGTTTATATGCTTGTTTGTTTAATGTGGAGGAGCAAACACATGGAGAAATTCCAGTTTATCGGTCATTCCATATCTGAAATTATATGTCACAATGAAAGAAGAAAATGTGTGTCTGTTAGGGCAGACTTCTTCCTGTGCAATTAAAGGTGTATTAGGTTGTAAAAAGAAAAAAAAAACGCCAGAAAACTAGAACAAAAATAAGCATTTCTCTTTCAGTATTTTTACGATAATCATATGCAAATAAATTATTAAACATATCTTCAGTATTCTCTTTGATTTCTCTCTGGGTTCACCAAGGCTGGAGCTCTAGGTTTTTCTCACCCAGCAGAGGGATGGGAAGAGGGAATAGTGAGTGGGTTTCACCTTAGAGTATCGCAGCAGCTACAGAACGGACTCATTAGGATTTAAGGTTAATCAAAGACCCGTCCACACGGCTCACCAATTAGCGAGACCACAGGACTATTCCTGGGGTTTTCGGTCTCTGCTGGAGAGGCTTCAAGGAGGCAAAAATAATCTGGCTTCACACCAAGAGCCGGTGTTGTTTGGCTTTAATCTCCCAGCCAGGACACAAACTGGGTCTCTGTCCCTGACCGGAGCAGACGAGTGAAGCTGTCACCTTCTGTTTTTATTGACACAGCGGATGCTTGTATATTGGGGGCCTCTGGGGGGTTCATACTCGCCCATTTTTAGCCTTGCTGCTCGGATAGCGGCGGTATGATCAACCACTGAAAGGAGCGTGTTCTTGTCTGATCATCTCTGCTGCTCTCACAGGATGAGCAAACACACACCGGGTCAGTGCTGAGGCCTTCAGAAGCAGATCCAAATGTGCGTACACGCAGACGATGTGATGATGTTATTCCCCTCTGCAGCCCTGGAAGCATGGCATTTATCTTCTGTGTCAAAGCTTTGTGGGTAGATTGCAGATAGATGCTTTGTGACTGCTCTTCCTGTTAGTGGAGACAGGCGTGCTTGACCTTGGAGGAGAATATTTTGCATGCAAGCCTGCTGAGAGGGAAGTCTTCCAGTCAAAAGCAGTATTTTTTTGCCTCTATCTTGAAGAGATTCCAGTTTTTTAATGAGCTCTGAAACTCAGGAGGAGCCTTTTTAAAAAACTGTTTGCCTGGTATTTTTCTGGGATCTGACACAATGTCAGAAGGAAGATTCTGTATCCTGTTTACCATTAAACATTTGATGTTTCCCAGCCTTTGCAGGCCACTCTTGCTTTGGCTCGCTGCTCATCTAAGCAGAGCTTGTTGTCACATTTTCACCCACTGCAACTTAAAGATGATGCAAAATGGCAGCAAACCTACAGGAAAATTTCTCATTATCGAGTTACAGACTATTAAGTGATGAGAAATCAGCGGAGAGCGACAGTTCCTCTCCGGATTTTTAAAAGGGTGCCTGGTGGGGGTGAAAGCTGAGGAGGTGATGGCAGGATGACAGACAGTTTTTATTTCATGGCTGCTGGTCGCCCATCACTGACCAGACAGTCTGCGGTTCAGCATCAAATCCCTGTGAGTGATCCCACGATTACTGCAAGATTAACTCCAGCTCGTCCATTTCACCGGACATACATAATCGCACATTTAAACCAGCCAAGACAGGACACGAACAAAAAAGACGACACATAAACTCGCTGCAAACACACACGTACAGATGTGTGCACAGTTTTAGCCCCCTACTCATGCACAGATCTGGTGGATTGGCAGTGATTTGTCAGATTTAGCTGCCTCTCCCTGTGTACCCCATCCTGAATGCACCAGTGTGTTCTCCTCCAAAGCTCAAGCTCTCATTTGCCATCCTGTCCAAAGCAAGTTTAATGCCTCCAATTACAGGGGGTCTGCAAGCAGGCAGATTTGGAGCGAGGAGGCTTGGCAGGAGAGTTTGCTACGCATCAGGGCCTTTTAACAGAGTAGTGATTTGCTGCTGCTGAAGCTGCCTGCGCCGGCTCATCAATGGAAAACTACCCTCTTTATGGTGAGACGCACGAAGCACTAAGCCCAAACTGTGAGGAGAGAAACACAAAGAAATATCAAGGCTTTTTAACAACGCAGTGCCCTCACCATAGAGGAATTTCTGCATCTCTGCACCGCAAGCACAAATGGAAATCAAAGTCTTTTCAGCTGTAATTTTCATGCGAAGTGGGTTGTGTTTTAATTGAATCTTCTGAGATACTGTGGAGCAGAACGTGACGGTGCAGCGCATACTGAGAACATGGCTGCAGAAACACATCCTGTTTTACGGTGTCAGACATTTGACAGTCAAAGAAAAACTTCCCAAAGTCCTATACAGTCTAAATCAGATCTTTTTCTGACGGCCAGTGCATCCCTAAAAAGGACTAATCATCTCCAAGTTTCGTTTGCATAAATCTCAGTGGATCTTCTATTTTTTTTTCAGTGGAAACATGAAGAAAAATGAGCCTCATTTTCTCTGCTCCACATGACACAGAAATACAAATTAGTGCAACTAAAATAAACTTGATTAAGTAATCTATTACTAACATTTATTTATCTCATTCACAGACACAAATAAATCATAAATTAAACATTTGAAAGTGGTATAAGATTTGCTGCGATTTTACATTAAATCTATCACTCAGATTAAACCCACCATTTATGGGACCTTTTTCTTTTTCTTAATCCAAATTAACGGATTACATTTTCCATTTCTTGTCACCAGATTATTGTAATCTTGTTATAGATAATCCGTTACTCTCTACCCCTGCTCTTCAAGTATTGTATCTGAACGTGTCAGTGAAGCAGCTGGCACTGAACACTTACGTCATCTCTGCTGCAGAATCACGACTAATAAACAAAATAAAACATCTCATTATAAAAAAACTCAATTTTCCTCTCAAATGATTTGCTCACATTTAATCAAAAAGGCTCAACACGCAAACACACACAAACAAACATGCACACATACCCGTCTGTGTTGGTAAATCACGGCTCTGAGAGATGTCTTTGCCTCCCAGCGTCTTCCTCACGAAGGCCTTCGGCAGGTTAGATAAGCATGACGGTGCACTTTGTGCTTACGGAGACCTCTGCCTGGCTGTGGCTCTGTCTCTGAGTCTGCAGTGTGTGATCCATTAAATGGCCTCTGAAGCCCCAGCCATTGATTGAATGTGTGTCAATACTCACATAGGTCTGAAGGATCCCTGCGTGGATCAGAAGAGTGACTTTTGGTCGTTAGCTTAGCATGAGAAAAAGAAAAAAAGGGGTAAAATCCAGACTATTTTTGTTCACTACCATAGAAAAAGAGTCTAGAAATGTTAAAGGGTAACTATTTGCTCCTTAACAGGAGGTTATGTGCCAGATTATATCTTGGCTGGGACTAAAAACTTCCTGGAGTCTCAGTTAATTGCCTGGCAGCAGGTCCAAGCCAAGAAACAGAGCTGAAGTGAAACCAAAACTTGCAACTTGCAGTGCTTTGTCCCTGGACAACTCTTCATCTTAAACCCCTTCAAAAAAAAAAGAAAAGAAATAAAATCATGACACACTCTCTCCGCACAGAGCCTGTCTAAGCACTGTGTCAAGTGGTCTGCTCCATTTGTACTGATAGGAACAGTAATTTATTCAATTTTTTACAGGCCTTTGACAAACGCAATTTCCCCATGAGCTCTTCTCAACCCCAGGTTAAACGTCATGGTGCAACAAAAGAGACAACTCACTGAGTCCTGACACGTCTGTAATAATAGCAGGACCAAGTGCTTCAGACAGCAGGGATAACAGCTACATATTCATTTAAAAAGAGAGCGCTGGTGAATATTATTGACATGGACAAACTGGGTTAGGATGACACAAGTACTAGCGCTGCAGTTTTGGCGAGATTTAATTGGAGCTGTAGTTTGTTGTAAGATCACACAGAAATGATTGTTTAAGTCTATTAAAGTTGCAGAGGTTTCAGTGTCTGATAAAAACCGCTCCAGTGGATGGAGCATTTGCCTCAGAATATGGAAATAAAACCTCATGAACAGCCTTCAGTTCTCAGAAATACTGATGAAAGAGATTGCATTGAGTTACAGAAGCTGGAGGAACGGAGACGGAGCTGACGTCAGGGCTTTGGCTCTCTGTAGGCACACACTCACATAACAGAGAGAAAAGGCAATTTGTGTTTAACCAGTGGTGGCAGAGGGACTTAAAGCCACTGTGAGGAACTCCAGTGTATACATGAGTGGTATTCCCTGATGAAAAATGTGCTACTGTTTGATTTTGAGTGGCTAGAGTAACACTCGGTGAAACTTTGCAGAGGAGAAGCATAAACCAAAGGCTCTTTCAGTCGGTTCTTTCATCTTTCTCAGGAACTGATCCAATATAAGAACATAGATGCTTCACAGGGATGGTCCAGCTCCTCACAGTGAAGTAAGTTAATGCATCATTACAACAGGGTGAAAAAAGGGTTTGTATAGCTCAGTTTAGGTGCTACTGTGTTCCCATCATGTTCTCTTTCCTTAGTTAAAGCCCTTAATATGCAGATGAATCATTTCAGACTATTATTATTATTACTAAATAATTATCACTGATGCCTTTCTTTGTGCTTCAACTTTGATCAAATCAGAAATCATTCAAACTTTCTTTGTGCCACTAGATAGTTTTACCTTTTACAAAACGGTTTTATTAGGGGTTATTTTCTTATTATTATCTCAATCTTAAAAAGTTTTAAACCCAGAGAAATTCACACAAATGTAGTGAAACAGAAATAAGAAACTACAGAAAGGTGACAAGTGAAATGAAATAGGACAGACTGAGATGCTATCAGTCAGGCCACTATAAGTGGTGGTACAGGATGCTTTTGTTCACAGTAGTTTGGCAGAGTGTACACTTATGTGTCTCTGTCCACATTGAAGGACAACCTCTCAGTGGAGGTGCAACTCCTGATCATTTTGATAGTCGAATGATACTTTTATCAACTGATTACCTCCGCCAAGGAGGTTATGTTTTCGGTAGCGTTGGTTTGTTGGTTTGTTGGTTTGTTGGTTTGTTTGTTTGTCTGTTAGCAACTTTACGGAGAAAGTTACAGACGGATTGACCTGAAATTTTCACCAGAGGTGCGTCTCAGCCCCAGGACGATCCCATTACATTTTGGTGGTTATCCGGATCGCCTTCTGGATCCAGGAATTTTTTGAAGGATTCTTTATCATTGTGAGAAAGGGCACATTTTGGAATTTTTGCATTTAACTCAATAAAAATGTCCAGAGTCTTTAGTAAAAAATTACACAAAAGGATCTCAATGAGTTTTATGAGGTGTCAAAGGTTGATCCTGATCCAGACAAAATTCTGGTTACTGTGATTCCAGAACACACAAAAATAAGGGTGTTGTTGGAATTTTCAATGCTGAAAGATAACCAATGGGCGGCACAGTGGTGAAGATGGGCGGCACAGTGGTGTAGTGGTTAGCACTGTTGCTTCACAGCAAGAAGGTCCTGGGTTCGAATCCGGGTCAGGGCATTTCTTGTTCTAGGAACATTATGAACAGTGAACATACCAGTTTAAACACAAATAAAAGTTAATAAAAGACACGTAACAGTAAAAGTTTTGGTGTGAATCTCAATATAAGGGGGGACATGAGCTGCTTGGCGGTGGTCTGCGCTCTCCGAGTGCTTTTCTAGTTAGATAATAGGTTGCACGATTATTTGGTTATTTGGCCTTCAGCAGATAATTTTAACATCACTCTTTGAACTCAGCACAAGCCGTTAAAATCTTTATTCAAACCATATTTTTGCCTTGGCTTTACACATAACTTGAGTCTGATGATTCAGTTCAATGTGTAGTGTCACCACTGTAGCAAAATGATAGGGTTTGCTAAACTCTAAGTGGGGGGAGAGGAAAGGAGGATGAAAAAGAGACACGAAGGAGAGAAAAGATGAAGGAAGGTTTTAAGGTGACTGACTGAATATGTAAACGAGAGGAAAATCCCACAGCGTGGTCCTAACTTTCAATTCCTGAGCTGAATGTCACAGTTGATGTTTGAAAACAGAGACACCCACTGTACCTTCTCCTCAAATATTACCAATGCTGATGTGCTGCCATGATAGGCTTCTGCAAATCTTCTGTAGCACTCAGGGAAAAAACTTATGAACTTGAGAGGTTATAAGGCACAACTCTGTCATTGGCCCCTGTTATTTTCTTGTGTTTGGTTTGCCTACACTGTGTTGTGGGTGCAGCTCTCTATAGCAACAGTAAGAAAATGAGGTTGCTCATCCCTTAGCAACATAACCCCACATGGCAGTAGCTGTGTTTACATGGGTCATAAAATCCAATCGCATTCAACACTCAACCAGATAAAAAATGTGTCATGTTATCTCCTTAGCAGATCTGATCCACTTGGATCATAGCAAATTTCGGATCTGATTGTAGGAGGTAGTCTACGCAGAATGACAATACGATTGATGCTACATATAAACAGCTGACTAGATCGTGTTCAGTTGATAGACTGGATTATTTGTTCTTTGCAAGTGCCCAAGTATGTATGGCCATGTAACAACGCTGGCAGGAAATAGGAAACCCAGAAGTTATGAACAAAACAAAACGAACAAGTAGAAAAAAAATGGATGGTGCTGGTAACTAACTTTTTAATCGAAACACTACAGGATCTCAGAATTTTTGGGAGGTTTGATGGCTGTAAATCAGGCGATGGTGAGATTATTGGTAGAGAGGCTTTTTGTGCATGTCATAGGAGCTAATCAATCGGATTCAGCTAGGCCCATGTAAACATAGACTAAACGTGGATTGTTTTGTTTTAAGTCCATGTATACAGGTCACATCCGATGCACTCAATAGGGTTATTTTCAATGGTATTGAGGAAAATGTTGCATTTAAACGCTGCTCATGTTAAGTTCACTCACAGCATGAAAACATACACAATATCAACTAATAATCAACCGTTCAATTAATTGGCTACCAATTTCATAATTGATTTTTGACAACAATGCATCCTACACCCTAGATGGAAAAAATCTAAAATAACAAGATAGGAACAAATAAATTGCCAAAGTCATTACTCTACTTGAGCCAAATGCTGCATTTCCACTTAGCGGTCCTGTGCAATAAGGTAAGGCATGGCACCCAAATATTTGCGTCTCCTCTGTCAAAAGTCCAGACAGCTGAACTGTGCTGTCAAACTGTTCTGGCACCCTTTTGTTGGGATATCAAGCGTATTCATCTGGTAGGAAAACATGGAGATAGACACACTGAGAAAGATGAGGATACACTGAATTATATTTTTTTAAACCTCCAGGTTTTGTGCAGGTGCTGGGTGTTGGTCTTATCAGCAAACAATCTAAAATGGGTGCTTCTACACACAGAGACCCCGGCTGAGAGTGGCACAAATGCAAAAGAGGAGGGAGAATATCTCCTGTAACCTGATGTTATGTAATCTAATGATTGACACAGTTTACCTGCAGCCATCCTGATGAATGACAGCTTATTTTTTCCCCAACAATACTTGAATAAAGAGCGACGCAAGCTACTTCTTCAACCAAATAACTGCCATGGAGACAACTTCAAAATAAAAGGATTGTGTGAAAACTAGGGGAGTCACTCCACAGGCTTCTGCTTTCAAAAGCATTATGTTTGCTCTTTTGTGTTACATTTTTCATGCTTAAGCCAAGACAGCCCTTAGCTCATCATTTTCTGTGTATTTAGGCTGCTACTTGAGAAAAAAAAATAGGCAAGCCTGCCAATCTATTTACGAGATTTCCAGCCCGTGAGACGAACGTGAGAGACACTGCTCGCACCGGCGGTCTGAATGGCAGCCAACATGCTTCGTGTATGAAGTGTCAGGGCGCAGTTGGCTGTCGATATGCAAGTAAGATCAGCATTAACGGTACCAAACTGTACCAAACTGTACAAAACAAACCAGACTGCTCGGTGGAAACGCACCAAAAGAGTGAGTCAAGCACAAACTGCACCAGACCATACAAGAAGGGGTACAGGATACAGGATGAACTCTGGCATGTGTGGGGCAGTGCCATAGAAGCTGTAGACCGCTTTGTTTCAAATGGGCAGTCAAGCTAGTTGTTTCCCTGCTAAGCTAAGCTAACTGGCTGTTGTGTAGAGCTACAGAATAAAATTTATGGCGAGATAAACTGGAAATGGTTTTAATCTTCTCATGCCAGTTAAAACAGAAAAAAACTCTTTGAGAAAATTGGAAATGCTAACCACGACTCTGACAGGCTGCTGTTCTGATATTTCAAAGCTGAGTTGTTTTTGTGTAACTGTGAGGCCATGACAGCGCTGTCGTGTTGCCATGTGGTGAAAAAAAATCAAGGGACAACTGTGACAGTGTCCATTGTGGGATGTAAAACTAGAACAAAATCCATCCCGATGCAGCATCTGAAAGACCACATGTGTCTGCCAGGGTGTGTTTCAAAGCAACAGAGCGGGGAGCCCTCATGAAAAGAGGGGGCTGGCAGGGATCATTAGCATGCATGTGAATGGGTTGGAAAGAATGAGCAGATTATGCATTTGTATGTTTGCTGATGAGATAGAGGGGTTTAGGTCCCTCAGCCCAGTTTGAATCACAAATCCCCCACCAGGGGAGGGGAAAGGCCAGGGATAGAGAAGAGCAGGAAGAGACAGACTTTAGGCTTTTGAGTAAACGTGGAGGGGAGGGTGTGTGTGTGATGGTCTCAG